CATGTATTTTACCAGGAAACATAGATAGCTCAGGCTACAAAAGTCAGTGCCTACCTAACCATACTCAAGTATTCTGAGTTTGTTGGCGATGTCCATTTTGCTTTAAGTGTTCTTGGTGACCTAACCCTACCCCTAAGTGGAATTTTCCTCCAATGGGATATTCCCATGTATTTTACCAGGAAACGTAGAGAGCGCAGGCTACAAAATTCCGTGCCCTCCTAACCATACACAAGCACTCCGGGTTTGTTGGCGATATCCATTTTGCTCTATGAGTTCATGGTGACCAAACCCTAACCCTAAGTGGAATTTTCCTCCAATGGGATTTTCCCATGTATTTTACCAGGAAACATAGATAAGCCAGCCTAGAAAAATCAGTGCCCTCCTAACCATACCCAAGCACTCTGAATTTGTTGGCGATGTCCATTTTGCTCTGTGAGTTCATGGTGACCTAACCCTAACCCTAAGTGGAATTTTACTCCAATGGGATTTTCCCATATATTATACTAGGAAACATAGATAGGCAGCCTAGAAAAGTCAGTGCCCACCAAACCATACCCAAGTACTCCGGGTTTGTTGGCGATGTCCATTTGGTCTATGAGTTCATGGTGACCTAACCCTAAGTGGAATTTTGCACCAATGGGATTTTCCCATGTACTTTACCAGGAAACATAAATAAGCCAGCCTAGAAAAGTCAGTGCCCTCGTAACCATACCCAAGCACTCCGAATTTATTGGCGATGTCCATTTTGCTCTATATGGCAAATATAGACAGCATACTAAAAGGCAGAGACATCACCCTGCCAACAAAAGTGCGTATAGTCCAGGCCATGGTTTTCCCAGGTGCAATATATTGCTGTGAATGTTGGACCATAAGAAAGGCTGAGCGCCAAAGAATTGATGCCTTTGAACTATGGTGCTGGAGAAGACTCCTGCGAGTGCCTTGGACTGCAAGGCGTTCAAACCGGTCAGTCCTAGAAGAGATCAACCCCGACTGCTCTTTAGAAGGCCAGATCCTGAAGTTGAAACTCAAATACTTTGGCCACCTAATGAGAAGGAAGGACTCACTGGAGAAGGGCCTAATGCTGGGAAAGATTGAGGGCAATAGAAGAAGGGGACGACAGAGAAGGAGATGGCTGGATGGAGTCACTGAAGCAGTAGGTGTGAACTTAAATGGACTCCAGAAGATGGTAGAGGACAGGAAGACCTGGAGGAACATTGTCCATGGGGTCGCGATGGGTCGGACACGACTTCGCAATTAACAACAACAACAACAATTTTGCTCCATGAATTTATGGTGACCTAACCCTAACCCTAAGTGGAATTTTCCTCCAATGGGATTTTCCCATGAATTTTACCAGGAAACATAGATAGCGCAGCCTAGAAAAGTCAGTGCCCTCCTAACCATACCTAAGTATTCCGAGTTTCTTGGCGATGTCCATTTTGCTCTATGAGTTCATGGTGACCTAAACCTAACCCTAAGTGCAATTTTACTCCAATCGGATTTTCCCATGTATTTTACCAGGAAACATAGATAAGCCAGCCTAGAAAAGTCAGTGCCCTCTTAACCATACCCAAGCACTCCGAATTTGTTGGCGATGTCCATTTTTCTCTGTGAGTTGATGGTGACCTAACCCTAAGTGGAATTTTCCTTCAACGTGATTTTCCCATGTATTTTAGCAGGAAACATAGATAGGGCAGGCTAGAAAAGTCAGTGCCCTCCTAACCATACCTAAGTATTCCGGGTTTGTTGGCGATGTCCATTTTGCTCTATTAATTTATGGTGACCTAACCCTAACCCTCAGTGGAATTTTCCTCCTATGGGATTTTCCCATGTATTTTACCAGGAAACATAGATAAACCAGCCTAGAAAAGTCAGTGCCCTCCTAACCATACCGAAGCACTCCAAATTTATTGGCGATGTCCATTTTGCTCTATGAGTTCATGGTGACCCAACCCTAATCCTAAGTGGAATTTTCCTCCAATGGAATTTTCGCATGTATTTTACCAGGAAACATAGATAGGTCAGGCTAGAAAAGTCAGTTCCCTCCTAAGCATACCCAAGCACTCCGGGATTGTTGGCAATATCCATTTTGCTTTATGAGTTCATGGTGACCTAACCCTAACCCTAAGTGGAATTTTCCTCCAATGGGATTTTCCCATGTATTTTACCAGGAAACATAGATAGCGCAGGCTACAAAAGTCAGTGCCCTCCTAACCATACCCAAGCACTCCGAATTTATTAGCAATGTCCATTTTGCTTTATGAGTTCATGGTGACCTAACCCTAACCCTAAGTGGAATTTTCCTCCAATGGGATTTTCCCACGTATTTTAACAAGAAACAGAGATAGGGCAGCCTAGAAAAGTCAGTGCCCTCCTAACCATGCTCAAGCACTCTGAATTTGTTGGAAATGTCCATTTTGCTCTATAAATTCATGGTGACGTAACTCTAGCCCTAGGTCCGTGGTGGCGAACCTATGGCACCTAGGCCTTCAGCTGCATTTTATAAAACTTTTTCGCTTTAGGCCACCACCACCATGTGCAAGAAAAAAAAAAAGTTTCAGTCAATCAATTTCAACTTCTCATGGGAAAAAAAAGATCTCAAAAAGTTGGAAATTGATTGAACTTTTTAGTCTCACCCCATCTGCGGTTACCACCACAACTATGCCACCCAATGGCCACACCCACCCAATGAGCCACGCCCTCCCGGCACCCGACGATACATAAGTGGGTTTTAGGTTGCAGTTTGGGCACTCGGTCTCTAAAAGGTTCGCCATCACTGGTCTAAACCTCTTTTCCAGGTTTCCTCCAAAAATAGGTCATTGCCACGAAAGAGTTCCCCCGCTTTTCAACTGCATCTGCGAATGCGAGCTGGATGGCTGGACTCAGGATCCTTCCCGTGGATTCAGAGGAACGCAAGTGGGTGGCATCCAACCAGAGCCGCCACGCACCAGCCAGACCCTCTCCTGGGTCGACACTGTTGTTCTCATTCGCTCCAGCTCTTTGACAGGGACATGAAAGGGGCCCCCTTGGCTGTCCCCCGGACAACGATGCCACCGACTAACCCTTTCAATCCAGAAGCACCTTAAACGGTGGCAGGATCCCAGCCTGTCTGGATGCATCCACATGGATTTCCACACTGGGCGGGGGGCGGGGTCGTTAGGGCGCCTCTAAAAAGGGACCCTTTCCTGCTGTTGCCCTACCCCAAAAAGAGTGAAAAGGCAGGGAAAGCCTTGATTTCAGACAGGCCATTCGGTTCTAGAAAACACCTGAAGTCTGGTAGGAAATGGGTGTTGTTCTATTCTGCAGAGTAGCATCAGCACCAGAACCCGAAGACAGACAGGCCCTGTTAGTTTTCACCTCCATCTCCTTTTGCAAACAGAGAGATTCCCCCCCTGAAGCCCCCGCTGGGTTTGCTTACGGATCAGGAAAGCAGGGAAACAGCCATGAAAGACTAGCTGAGCCTAGGCCAGTTTGGGATCGGCTCAAACAATCCTGTCCTGCTCGGAAGCCATTTCTCCACTTGATATTCCAGGCTTGGCTCAGCTCAGCCAAGACGCACCAAACTGCACCGATACTTGTTCCTCTCCCTTGTCCGGATCCCGCCGGGTGCAGAGCCTGAGTTCCTCTTTGGCTCTGCAAAGCTGGATGGGACCTTCACACCAAAGCGAAGCTGAAGCACCCGGCCCTCCTCCTCGCCCTTTCCTACAGGCATCCCGGTCGTGGGCAACACGGCTCCCATTTCTCAGACACAGGTCCTTCCGGCCATTAGGAAGCTTTATTGCACACATCCTTGGCAGGTGGGCATCCCCCACATGCCACACGCCTCAGGCCCAAATGGCGTCCCATCCCTGGGGAAGATACAGGGGCGCCCCAACACTGCAAAGGGCAGGTCAGAACAATCAGCATGAGAGGGGGAGAAGGGGGCGCCAAATGGGCATGAAGTGGAGCCAGAGTGTCAGGCCGGAACAGCTGCAAAGCTGCCACTTGCGCAATGGAGGCCACCGCGGTAAAGGACTGCCTCCTGCCGGCTCGGCTGCCAGCCAGGGCGCCTCAGGACTCAGTGCAGCTCTGCAAGGTAGAGGTTTCCCCCCGCACCAGCACCGGCCACGGGCTGCCCTCTGGAAGCTGAAGCCACCACGTGCACCGGCTTGTTGGACAGCAGGACCTCTCCAATCACCTGTGAGCAGCAAGGCAAAACCAAGAGCGGCTGTGGAGGGAGATCCTGGCTGCGACTGGCAGCCACTTCTGCGCTAGCTACTCCCGAGACTCTTCTCACCCCCACAAACACACACCCCTTACCTGGCCTGTTCCAGTGTGGATAATCCCAGCCCCGCTGGTGCCACTGCCCCCGGCCACCACCACGTCCTCAGTGCAGAACTGGGCCGAGTAGAGAAATTCTCCCTGGGTGGGGTTGCCAGGAAAGGGCACGTTTTGCCACAGCCTGGACATCCGCAGGTCCCAGAGTTGCAGAGCATTGTGAGGCACCCAGGAGGCAGTCAGGATATGTTCTCCCTATTTGGGGGGGGGGAGGCAGATGTGCGACTTCACAGTCCTCTTTGGCACAAGATTTGCTTCCGTTTGGAGTAATTGATGGAGTACTGAACCCAAAGACATGTAGCATACAGATGAAGCTTTGAAATTATTTGCACCTGATGCTTCACCTGAAAGCCCAAGGGATGGGGGGGGGAGGACTCGCATCCGCTACCCTTTTGGGTCTCTCCTTTGACTGCAGACGTCAGTCTGCACCTGGCGCAGACGTGTCTCCCTCTGGGAATGTTCAGAGGACGCTGCTGTCAGCACGGAAGCCCTCACTCTGCCTGACCCAAAGCTTCACCTTGCCGTCTGCTCAGTCTGGGGGATCCGGGTTTGGAGGGCAGCCTTGGGGAAGCATACAAGAGAGGGCCCCCCATCCACTCCGTTTTTTGCCCGCATCGATCGCATTCTTTTCTGTTGTGAAGGTGGAAATCCCCTCCCCCCTTCCCGCCTCAGACGGGACTCACCTTGATGTCGATCCCAGGACCGCAGATGTGGGGCCCGTTGATCACGCTCTGCGCCCCTTTGGGCACGCGCTTGTCCCAAACCTGGCAGAGGACAGGCGGCCAATCTCAGAGCCGGGCGCCGGGGGCGGGGGGGGGAGCGCGGGTGGGTCAGCGCGCCCTGGGGTGGGCAGCACTTGCCTTGACGGAGTTGTCCCAGCCGCCGGTCAGGAAGAGGTGCAACTCGGTGGGGTGGAAGCGCAGCGCGAAGATCCGCCGGGAGTGGCCGCTGAAGGGCGTGAACTCGTCCCCGGCCATGAAATCCGGCGCGCGCACCACGTGGACGAGCTGCGACGAGGAGAAGGAGGAGGAGGAGCGCGGGAGGCGAGGGGGCGCTCGGGGGTGGGGCGGGAGGCCGGGGCGTGGCTCACCTGGTGGGTTTGGCTGTCGTAGAGGCGGATGTGCCGGTCTTTGCCGGCCGTGGCAAAGGCGCTGCCGTCGCGGCAGAAGTCCAGCGCGTGGATCTCGTTCTCCTCCTCTGCAGGGCCAGGAGGGGAGAGTCAGCAGCCCCGCCCGCCGGCTGCCGACCCACCGCTCAGGGAGGCCGCGGCGCTCCCTGCGGGGCCGGGAGGGGGGTGTCCTTAGCCCCGCGGGAAGGGCCCGCCCTCCGCCCACCCGCCGACCCACCGCTCAGAGATGCCGCGGCGCCCCCCGCGCTCAGGTCGTAGAGGACGACGACCCCATCGGCTCCGGCGGCCAGCAGCAGCCCGGGCTTAGCGCGATGAAAACCGAGTGCGGTGACGGCATGCCGCGGACGCCGGCCCGGCCGCAGGCAGGGTCCCGGCGCGCCCGTCCCAGCGTCCACCAGCTGCGGGGAGAGCGGCGTGAACTTGGGCGGCGGCGGCAGCCCTCGCTCAGAGCGCCCGCCGCCCGGCCCCCGCTACCTGCACGGCGCCGTCGCCGAAGCCCGCGGCCAGCTGCGCGCCGCTCGCGCCGAAGCAGAGGCTGTAGACGCCGTGCGCCTCCCTGCCCAGCGGCACCCTGCGCGCCGCCGCCGCCATGCTCCTGGCCGGGCGTCCAGCGGTCGCCCCGGTAACGGCCGCTCCGTTGGCGCCGCGGGACCAGCCGCACGCGGATCGCCGCCTGCCGGGACGCGCCTCCTGCAGCCCGCAGAGCTCCGGCTGGCTTTCCGGCGGGCCTCGGAGCCTCCGGCTGCCGCCCCCCTGGCCCGGGGTGCTCCGGTGGTCTCGATCATACGAAAGGTGCTGGGAGAAGACCGGGGGTGCAGGATAGGACGGGGGGGGGTCACCCGCCAGAGACGAGTTTCAATTTCGGTTAAATCAGAACAGAGCTGGAAGGGACCTTGGAGGTCTTCTAGTCTGACCCCCTGCTCAAGCAGGAGACCCTCTACCTACCATCTCAGACAAATGACTGTCCAGTCTCTGCTTAAAAACCTCTAGTGATGGAGCAGCCGTGATTTCTAGTGGCAAGCTATTCCTCTGGTTAATTGTCCTGGCTGTTAGGAAATCTCTCATCTCCAGATTGCTTCTCTCCTTGATTAGTTTCCATCCATTGTTTCTTGTCCTGCCTTCTGGTTGTTGTTGTTGTTGTTGTTAATTGCAAAGTCGTGTCCGACCCATCGCGATCCCATGGACAATGTTCCTCCAGGTCTTCCTGTCCTCTACCATCTTCTGGAGTCCATTTAAATTCACACCTACTGCTTCAGTGACTCCATCCAGCCATCTCATTCTCTGTTGTCCCCTTCTTCTATTGCCCTCAATCTTTCCCAGCATTAGGCCCTTCTCCAGTGAGTCCTTCCTTCTCATTAGGTGGCCAAAGTATTTGAGTTTCAACTTCAGGATCTGGCCTTCTAAGGAGCAGTCGGGGTTGATCTCTTCTAGGTTTTCTGGTGCCCTCCTCTATGCGGCAACCTCTCAAATACAGGAATACTGCTGTCATGTCACCCTGTTCTTTATAAGTTTTTTTCTCCAGGTCTTTGATCATCTTAGTTGCTGTTCTTTGCAGTTTTTCCAAAGTCTCAACATCTTTTTTGTAATGTAGTGAACAAAACTGAATGCAGCTTTCCAGGTGTGGTCCTACTAAGGCTTTATGAAGTGGCACTAATACATCACCTGATTTCGATTCTACGCCTCTTGTTTATACAACCCAGGATTGTATTAGCTTCTTTTGGCTGCTGCCGCACACGGCTGGCTCATATTTAAGTGATCATCCACTAGGACTCCAGTGACCCTCTCACAGTCACTGTTTTACTGCATGTATCAGCCAGCCACTCATGCGGCCCAGTTAAGAATAGGCCATGGACTGGTAGTGGGCTGCAGCCCACAGGTTGGGCACCCCTGCACTGGAGGCTGCCCTGATGCGGCCCAGACTCTTCCACGGAGCGACCTGATGGTGAGGCTTGTCTTTTTTCTGCTTCCCTCACCTCTGTGCTTTCCTGAGTCTGCTTGGAATCCCCACATCCATCCTGAGCAAGGCATCCCCACATCCACCCTGCGGGTGGCTCCGTCCAGCCTTCCGAGGGATCTTCCTTACACCTCAGGCCCCAGAGACTCCATGGAAGAGAATGACATCCTGGCAGCCGAGCACAGCTTCACCGAATCCTTCGACATGTTGCAAATAGCAGGAAGTCAAGAAACCACGATGGACTCAAAAACAAAGCCAATAACCTTGATGAGCAGGTGACTGTCCCATCTTAGCAGACCTTTTCCAAACAGGATTAGGAGCTTAATGCCAAAATCTGTAGAATGCAAAGCAATACAATCCAGAGCCTACTGTAGTGAATAAAGATGCCCCCCACCCCCGTTCCCCAATACACCTGTAAGTTGCATTCAGTGTCTCTGGGATGGGTGGTGAACAGCTAAAAGTGTAAGAAAATATTCACAGTAGACTGAAGTCGCTTATGGGTGAAAATTCAGTCAGGAATTTCTGGCCCAGTAAACTAAATTGTTTTCATTCACTGACCAGATCTCAGAAAGAGTACAGCTGGCAGGCTGATCTAGTAAGGAGAGATCAACAATGTCTGACAGACAGCTTCATCCGAAATATTCTGATGTCACGCTGTATTTCCCACGGTGTCGGCTTTTTCCTTTAGCTTGCCGTTGCTGGGGGCTGAAAGCACACAAGCCCTGTTCTGCTGTTGCTCGTGGCCATCAGAGCTTTGCTGGGGTAGTGGATAATGGATGGCATGCAAATAAAAACATGTGTCTTCAATATGCTTTGATTGCTTTAGGCGAGACAGATTTTGGAAATAACATATTTGTGTGCCAAGGTGTTGTTGATGTTCTGCATCTCCCATTGAAAGGAGGCACAAACATGCATCCGAGACTGTGCAAAGCACTGACTGCCTAGACCGCTACAGGGGGAGTTACGATGGAAACCAGGAGGAAGAAAAGGTTGTGATGGTAAACTCCGTGCAGATGTGTTGGAAGGAATGTGCCAAAAAGAGCATTGGGCCAGCTAGTATTTTGCAAAATGCAGCAATTTAGGGGAAGCTGATTTAAGGCAACAAAACCCTTTTTCTTTTCCTGACTTTGATTAACAAGAGTGGCTGCCTTCAAAACACAAGGAGAAAAATAGGTCAATACACAGAATGGGGGAACAAACAAAATCTAAAATCTTAATGATCCAGAAGGCATAGACAAGTGAAAAGACTAAACATGATTCACCAGAAAATGTGATTGGATTAGTGATTGGATTAATTTAACAAATTTAAATATACTTTTTTTGGAGGGATGGGATTTATTATATGGATGGCATGCCTATTTAATTTATAATAAAAAGGTGGATAGGGTTTTTAAGTCCCATATCCTGAGAATTTCTTTATTGCGAGTTTGGAAGAAATATTATAGATCAGATTCTAGAATACCGTTGTGGGGAATTCCAGGGCACGCAATAGAAGGGATAAGGAAAGGAGTGAAAATGGAGAGCATTTCTTATAAACAATTGCTTAATTGGGATGGGAATAATTGGCAATTAAAATCTATGGATGAATTAGCGCAAGAAAATATTAATTATTCTTGGTTTCAGTATAGGCAATTATTAGAAAGGTGGAGAATAGATCAAAAAGTGGGTTTTATTAGGGAGGATGTGAATTTGATGAAACAAATTAAAGATCAAAGTCGAACTCATATAAAAAGAGTTTATAGTGTTTTAGTGGAATTGGATTCAGAAACAGAATTAGTTAAAGATTGTATGGTTAAATGGGCTCAAAATTTTGATGAGCCGATTTTATTAGACACATGGGAGAGGATTTGGGTGAGGAATGTTAAATTTACTCAAGCTCAAAATTTACGAGAAAATTTTTACAAAATGTTTTATAGATGGCACCTTAATCCACAAAAGATGTCTCGTATGTATCCAAATGTGCAGCCCAAATGTTGGAGATGTGGTTGTTTGGATGCAACGTATTATCATATTTGGTGGTCATGTAGAAATATAAAGGCTTTTTGGATCAAGATTTGGTGGAATATTCAGAAGATTTTTAATAGAAGGATAAAATTTACACCACAATTGTTTCTGTTAGGTATTATTGATGATTGTGATGGTAAAGAGATTATTTTAATGTTGAATTTAATTACAGCAGCAAGGTTGCTGATTGGGCAATACTGGAAGAAGGATCTCTTGCCTACTTTAGAAGAATGGTTTCTTAAAGTTTCTTATTTATCCGAAATGGCAAAAATTTCGGCATATCTGAAAGACCAATCGCAAGAGAGATATATTTTGGTGTGGAAAAGATGGGTGAATTTTATACAGAATAAATATGATATTAGAAAGTATTATTTAGCTTTTGAATAATATATATCTAAGGGTAAGCTTTTGAATAATTTATGTTTAAGGATGGTAATTTTTGTTTTTATGTATTGGAGTTAAAGTGTTTAAAATTTTGCTTTTTGGATGTATGTATAATTGTTTGATGTTCATTTAAGTTGTATGTTTTTTGTTGTTTTTAACCCTGTATTCAGCTCTGGGAAGTAAGGGGGAGGGGGGTTGGGAGGGGGGAAGTATTTTATTGTAAAATTTTATAAACTTTCAATAAAAAAAATGCTATGGATTCGGTTTTCAGCCAAAAAAATCAGGTGGATATTAACAACCAGGAAAATATCAACACAACCCCTCCCAAGTCAGAAAACTTCAAGCTACGGGAGAAAAGCTGAGGTCAAATGGGAGCAGCAACAGCTTCCATGCTTCTGAGGCGGCTGGGCTGAAGTAGGAAGGATGCCCGGCTGTTGATGTGCCCAGAGGCCAAAGGGCAAAAGGCATCTAACAGCTGGAGGGGAGGGGAGGAGCGGACCATGGCGGAAGGCGGAGGCTCCTTATGGGTCAGAGCAGACATGGCCGGACTGGAGGCCGATGTGCTGGCAATCTGGCATGGGTCACCTCATATTGCAACCGAAGGAAAAGGGCCCTAGGGAAGAACGCTGCACTGCAACCTCTGGTTAGCCCCACGCAGAAGAAGGATCCCCCCCTCCTCCTCGTCCCCCCCCCCCCGTCCCCGCTCCCGAAGGCAGAGGGTCCCCTTCCCGAGCAGCGCTTGCAGCTGGCTCCTCGTGCGGAGCCCAAGTGAGCTTCCTTTGAGCCGGAGCCCGCGGCTGCCTTGTCCCGGCTTCTGGAACGGCTGAGCCAGGAGCCGGTCCGTCCTCTCTCCTGCCCTTCTGGTCGCTGGAGGGAGCCCCCCACCGTCCCTCCCTACAGGCGCCTGGGCCCCCCAGGAGGAGCCCTGGGCAGATTTTGCACCCCAGGGCTGGACGGCCTTTGCCCCGTATCTGGTGACCGGCCTGGCTTCGGCTCGCCTTCCTAGCAACTCCGCCACGAAGGCCGCTTGTTGTGACCCAGGAAGGCGCCAGATTCTCCCCCTCGGAGCAACGGCTGCCGCCCAACTCTGTGCGGGGGGATTTGGCCTTTGTCCCCGCGGAAAACCGGAGCCTCCTGGGGTTTCCGGGTCTCGCCCGCCGCCGCCCACCCTCTTCCCTCCGCGGAAGGTCTCCGGGGCGCCTTTCCCGCCCTCTCCTTCCCGGATAGACCCCCCTCCGGCAAGCCGGAAGCGGAGCCTGCCCCGGAGGTGGGTGGGGGGCCGTCCAAGCCTTCGGTCTCGGGGCGCGTCGGGCGGAGGGCCGCTTTCTGGCAGGCTCAGACGGCCGTATTCTTGGCTCTCCCGCCCGCCTGCCGTCCAACGGGAGGAGGCTCTTTCGGGCGGGGGGGTCGCCGCAGAGGCTTCTTCGCCCGCCGACATCGCCCCCCCCCAATCCTTGAGGCGGGCCGGGCCTTCCTCGCTTGCAAGTCCCGCGGCGTCGCCCGGGAGAAGCTCGGCCCTCCGCCCGGCCCGCTTGGCCAGCCGCCCTCGCCGGGGGTCTAAAGAAAGCCTGCCCGCCCCCACCCGCAGCCCCGGCTTGGCTCCGCCAAAGGACGGGGGGGCGGAGCGGGGGGGGGCCGGCCTCTCCCACCGGGCCAGGCCGGAGCGCATTCTCTCGGGACAGGCCGCTGCCGAGAAGGTGGGGCGGCCCTCAAGACCCCCCCTCCACGAGTCCCGGGGCAGATTCACAAGGGAGGCCTGTTTTTTGGCCGCCCTTCGTCCGGGCGAAAGAAAAGCCCGGAGGCCCGGGCCTTCCTCCCAGGCTTTCCCCCTCTGGACTGGCTGGGCAGGGGCGGTGGGGGGGCACCCGGCCTGGCCTGAAAAAGCCTCTTCTCCCCCCTCACCTCCCCCGTGCCACACAGACGACTGTATACAAATACCGGCTTTTTAGTTCAAATCTTTGGAAGGCGAACGTGTGAGCGGCCTCCAAATGCACCCCTAGTTAGGACATGGGAGATGGGAAGGGTCTGTGTTAGTGGGGGGGGGATGTCCTTAGTGCTCTCTGTGCTTGGTGGTTTTCTGGCAGACCTTTCACTGCCAAACTAGGTAACATCATCGGTGCTGGAAGGGAGTGGGGAGTTTGCTCTTATTTTTTTATAAATTAACAAGTCCTATGCACCAAGTTCAGAGAGCATCAAGGCCCCCACAGCTCAGTGCTGAGCTACAAGTATTCTCTTCTGTAGGGTCTGATGTGGCACAAGACCTCCTCTCAACAGCTCTCTGGACAGTCCTCCTTGCTGAGCTGCCCTGGCCTTGACAAAAATGCAGTCAGGTGGTTCTCTTGGCAGTTTAGAATTAACTGTCCCACCTGTGCAGTGGGGTACACAAATCACTCTTTGATTTGGGGTTGGCGTAATGTGTGAACCCAGGCAATTCAACAAATCTTGATCAAGCAGATCATGGTTTATGTAATGTTTAAACCTAATCTGTGCAGATAGAATTGTTTTGGAATTGTAGGTTTGTATGGAAGAACCCCCAGATATGTTGAGACTGTAGCACCCAAAACTCCCAATGAGAATCCCCCTTAACTATTCAGGCCAAGAATCCTGGGAGTGGCCCTATAAACAGATTGGGATAGACTGAATAGAACAAACCTGAAGGTAGGAATCGCTGCATACAATGCCCGCATTCATACCTCATGGTTTACTCTCCTGGGACAGGCGGGGTGCTGACCTGCATCCAGTCTGGAGCTGCTGATCTTTGCACCCAGATGCTCCTCTTCCACCCCTCCAACATTTCTGGCATCCTCTGTATCTGCCTTCATGGGTGACGATGCACTGTGAGAAAAGAGTTAGCTCTTGACTTCTACTTTCCAGACAGCCACAATCTACACTGTGTTCCGAAAACCATGAGTCCTGGAAGACAAAGACCTGGTGTTGTTGAGAAATGCCCTGCCACCACCACTGCTCCTTCCAGGCAGCCTCCACGGATCCTGGTGGTAGACATCCATCCTCCCCATTGGGACCACACCTGCCACAAGCTCTGTGAAGCCTTGGAAAACGTCTTCTGCTTAGCCTGCAGCCTGACAGGCCCACCCCGCATCCCTTCCTTCAGCCTCTATGTGGTCCAGAACCAGCAGGAATGCCTGCTGCCCTTCGTGGTGAGCGCTCCTTCACACACACAAGCCCCTCTGCAGCCGAGTGAAATATCTGAAGGCCCCTGTTCTGCTTTTTCCTTAGTGCTAGCTGTTCTTCCACTCTTATGTAACCTTTGGCCCCTTAGGGCCTGATTCATCTTGCTTGGGCACTTTTGTAGGTTACGTTGATGGATCTCTAAGAGCTTAGTGTTTCCATATCCATGGTGGTTGGCAGTCCAGAGGTACTCGGATTCCGCATTGGTGGCTACTCTTTGTTGCGGCAAAGCTCAGCCCATCTTCTCATGCTTGGGTATAATGCCATTCTTTGCCTGCTCCATTTCTGTGTTAAACTTGGGCTTCCAGCTCTGGTTTATCAACATTAAGCTACATTCTGTCCAGTTAAAGATCAGGAATGGTTTAACGTGGGGAGACAGAGGAGAAGACTGGTAATGGAGATGCAAATTCTCCATCACACTGCCCACTTTAATATAGCCACCCAATGTATTTGACGAAGCAAGCTGTAAATCACAAAACCTGACATATTTTTAACAAAATGTGTTAGTCAGAAAGGGTGCTACCAGATTCTACCTAATTTTTGGTCACCGTACACTGACACGGTTCTCCTAAACAGTCTGGATAAAGGTTATTTTTAATTCTGTCATTTTTCAGTCTTTATTAATCCATTCTGTAACTTTCACTTTTGAAGTCACTGGTGTTCTCTGAGCTTTGTTAACAAGACGTTTCACCTACCTGACACTGTCAGGGCCAAGGAAGGGGCAATTTGCTCCCTGTTAACCTACAGTAGCTTGCACTGCCAGTGTGGCTGAGCCGTGTGCTTTCCTCCTTGGGAATTCCTTGATGAGGGTGATTTTTTTTTTCCTTGATCATTTGTCTGAAGTTAATCCCTTCCTGAGGTCTTTTTCTTTCTTTCTTAACTTTTTTATTGTCTCTTTCAATGTAAAGTAAAACTGCCTTTTACAATTGACTGATAGTGATTTCGTCTATCCCAGTGGTATTCAAGTGCTGCTCCAGATGTGTTGGGGTTATTATTATTTAAGCTTGTCTGCTACCCGATTCTGAACACCTCTGGGTGGCTCATGACAATAAGAGAAATAAATTACAATGAAGCCAATGAAAAGGGAGCCAGACTGGGTGGAATGAAGCAAGTGGTCTCACTCTCCCCCTTGCCTGCCAGAGGTGCGGAGAAGAGCCAGGTCACCAGGGCTGCTCTAACCAATAGCAGAGGGAGGACCGTCTGGATCTCAGAAGGAAGCCAGGAGGTGGGATTCGGCTTGGCTAAAATCGGGGTTGTTCTATGTCCGTAGCATCCCCCTTGTTTAACTCACATCCTCAGTTGGACAAAGAAGGAGACAAGCTCACTCCTGATGTTTAAATGCTTCAGGGCCGCCTTTCTTATTTTGTCCCTTCCTCTTTAATAAGGTGAAAAGCCCAATGTTCCACTAGTGGAATTCTTGCATTGGTTTTTACTCCCCACGGTGTCACATTTTCCCTGGTGCGTTATGACACCTAATCCCTTTTAACTTTTTCTGATGTAACACATAGTTTTCAGACAAGCGTATTTAGTCCCAAACATGGGTGACTTCTTTCTGCTACATTTTACATTGATTTCAAAAGTAGTTCGATGTAAGCCGTATCAGGAGGTAACCAACATTTCAGCAACATTTCTCAGTTCCAGCCAAGGTGGAGGTGTGGAGGTACCTTCTTCGCCGGGATATCTAGAATTACGAAAGCAATCTGTGCTGCTTTCCCCATTTTTCCCTCTTACAGGCTCTCAAAGGAGGCTTTGCTCGGCTGCAGAGTTGCTTTGGAGAGCTTGGTGCCTTGCCCAGAGAAGGGGTGCTCCAGCCCAAGGAAGACGCTGTGGTTCAAGCAGTGCTGGACGGACTGCAGCAGTTCAAACAGTACACTGGTCAAGGCATGGCCGGAGCCTGTCTGAGCAGCTCTTCTGTGGAGGTAAGAAGTGGGCGCGGCCAGAGGTCACTCTAGAGCGTCTGAAGAGTGGCCCAAAGCAGAAACAAGGCAGAATTGCACAAGAATGCTGCCATTGCCAGGATCCCCCAGGGGGGTGTTGTGAACAAACCCTGCTGTGGTTCTTTGGTGCCAGTGACCTGTTGGATAGATCAGGTATAATATTGCTTTGGGCAGTGGCATTCAGTATATCTTTTGGACAAAGGTTTGCCAAGAGTTCTCCCAGTTTTGTGGATTTAGAGTTGGTTGCACAGTTCCACCCAATGGCTGCTCAGAAATGTTTCTGCATGTTTCTACAATGAATTTTTCTAGAAGAAAATAACAATTGTAATGGCCACCTCCACCTTTTGAAAGAGATTTATTGTTACGTGTACAAGACTTATAAGCTGCTATAATCAGAACCAGCCCTGAGCAGCATACCCTTATCTGTAAGTTGCAATAGTAATAATTGTGCAGAGTGATGTATATGTTACATCTTTCTTTACTGTAACTGGTATCTCAAGGGGAAAACACAGTCATGCAAACTCCTAACAGACAGCTCTCGCCAAATGCACTCTCTCATGGGAAGGGGGGAATGATAGAGAAGGCACGTAGCACGGCTTGAGTGAGAGGACATAGGGGGCCTGCCCCTCTTCATCTGATGGGGCAGACAGATGTTATTGGAATAAGGCATCCGGCAGAGGTTTGTGTCCTAAACCGTGAAGGGCTTTAAAGGTGCATTGAGTTGTACCCAGAAGCCAACCGGTCGCCAGTGCAGCTCAGACCAATGGGCATGACGAGGACTGGGTTGCAGCCGTTATGCCAGGCTCTGCTTGGGGCAGATTGCATGAGGAGAGTGAGTGTGCTGTCAATTAGGAAGGAGATTCTCCCTCTAAACTACTATGATTTTTCTTCCAGATTACAATCCTGACTAGCCAGCCCAGCAGAAAAATAGCCAACCAACTGGATGCTGGCTTGCAGGGTATTGACCTGGTTAGCCTCCACCAACTACAGGTGGTCGAGATTTCTCAGCAGGCAGTCCAGGAACTCTCCAGGGCAGAGTGGGGCAGAGATGTACCCAGCAGCAGTAGTGGTGGTGAGTACAACAGCTTATGCCTAGAAATTGGAAAAATCTGACACCAGTCACACCTAACCCTGATAAGTGTATTCAGTCTACAGAAACCACCAGAAATGGAATCTGAGCACTAAAACCCATGACAATATCAGCTGTTCTCTGTCCCTTCTTGAAATCTCCCCCTTCCCCCCAAAAAAGCAGACTGGCATTAAATTGGCTGTTCCCACTGCCAGAGCAAGTGGCAGAGGTTCCCATAGCCCCCAAACCTGGTCTTTCTTCACTTGCCCATCATTTCTTTCATTTTGTAACAACCTGTTGATGCAGAACCTGAAGCATGCCACAATTGTTAGTACATTGCACCTGATCTAATAAAGATACTTGCTCAATTTTTAATTTTGGAATTGATTCAGAATATTTTTTTTTCATTTTTAAAAAAGTGAATCTAAAAACAGGCTAAGTGCTGATTGTTGCCATCAGCTGGACAGCAGTAGATTGTTGCCACCGTCTGAAATCTTGTTCCGACTTCATGCTGTGTCAACACCATTACTCCAGGATCCCACTGGTCCCTGCTAGCTCTGATCCCATTAGCCTGTATGAATAATCAGAATCTTTGGCACCCCTGTGCATAATACTGTTGCTCTCTTCAAGCCCCTGGGAATCCAAAGGCCCTTGGCATCTCATTAGACCCAAGTCAGTTGTCACTGAAGGGTCATACGGCCCACCAACTCTTGAGACCCATGACGGCCGCTTGAGGAAGGGGTTGCCCTTCTCTGTGCTGCCACCTCCCATGCAGCCACCCCCAGCTGACCTTCGGCCTCTTCTTCCTCCCGCTGCTGCTCTAAATGCAGGCAGGCTTCCGGGTACCCCCATTTTGATCACGTGGCCACAAGGGCACCGCAACAGCTGTAAGCTCCAGGACCAGCTGTGATTACTATTTGTTCAGCCCTGTCCTATAACCATCGTAACCCTCGATCTAGATTCTTGGTTCCGTTAATGGAGCCCAAAGTAGTGTTTGCCTATCCCAGGCATTCATATTCTCTGTATCCCAATTCTCTCTGCTTTTGGAAAGGATAAGGATAGGATAGCACACCACACCACACGATAACATACAGTAGAAGAGAAAAATAGAAAATAAATAGAAATAGAAAATAGAATAGAATACTTTAACAGCCAAGTGTGATTGAACACACAAGGAATTTGTCTCTGGTGCATAAGCTCTCAATATACAAACAACATAATAAAATCAGTGTACATACAAAAATACAAGCAACATGTACATATAAACAACAAGTGTACATACAAACAACAAGGTAATATAATTATAAGATACCAATAGGAGAAGGTAATAGGAAAGATGAGAAGGATAGTAGGTAATACAGCCCTGCTAAATGGGTTGACATCCCAGGGCATAAGACAGTGTTGTGGGAATTAGTTGCTTTTAGCAGAGTGATAGCACGGGGGGGGGGGAGAAGGGGGGAAAGGGGAGAGGAACTGTCTTCGTGCCTGGTTGTTTTGGTGTGCAATGCCCTCTAGCATCGTCTTGAGGGAAGAAGTTGAAACAGTTTATGTCCAGGATGTGAGGGGGGGGGGTTGTAGATAGTTTCACAGCCCTCCTTTCTGGCTCGTGCAGTATACAGTACAGGTCCTCAACGGAAGAAGGCAGGCTGGTTGCCGTTGTTTTTTCTGCAGTCCTAACTATCCGTTGAAGTCTGTACCTGCCCTGTTGGGTTGCTGTGCCAAACCAGACAGTTACTGAGGTACAAATGACAGACTCAATAATTCCTCTGCAGAACTGGATCAGCAGCTCCTTGGACAGTCTGAGCTTTCTGAGTTGGCGCAGGAAGGACATACTTTGCTGTGCCTTTTTAACAATGTCCTATTTAATCTCATCTTCCCTTGCAGAGAGCGCCACAACCTTGAACACGGAGGTTGATCTACACACTGTGGAGAACGATGTGGTGGCCTTAGAGGACTTTTTCAAAGCCTGGCTGCATGGCCACGCTCCTGATCAAGAGCACCTTCACCTCCTCCTGCCTGCCAGGACCACCAGCTGCTCTGGGGCACCTAGCAGCGACGCAGGTAGTCTCCCCTGGCCCTCGGGTGCTCACGGGGGCATCTGTGACACATTGGTGCTGTTTTCTTGGCACAATAAACGAAAGTAGCAAACCATAGAAGAGACCAGCAAGAAATGGTGTTTTATTGTCCAGGATGATAAACACATAAAATGTTTTTTTCTTGCTTGCGAGGGACAGAGTGTTGTGTGTCAGCGTCCCTGGCTCTCGGGATGTTTTTGTGCACTTCTAAGTCAGTGCAGCTTTTGTCAAAGAGAAGCTAGGAAAGGCATCCATAAGGGCATCAGCGTGTCCTCTCCTCCCCTGGTGGGCTGTCCCAGGAAGGGGAGGCTTGGGAAATAACCTCCCTCATAAAAAGCCGCATCCCGGCGAATGTCGTCTTCTTTCTTTTTTCTAGCCAAATCAGGCTTATTAACATTTTTTTAAAAAGTGATGGGAACACACTGACTGCAAGTATAGCTCAGGAAAGATGCCAAGTATACAAGTCTTTATCTAGTTGCAGATGTTCTTTTTCAATTCATTTTCTTTCTTTTTAATTATGTATTTAATTTATAAATAACCCATCATCTCTCTGGAGTGGGATCCTCCTGCAAGCCTGAAAATCGAAAAGCAAATCCAGATTAAAGGAAGGACTTCTTTCTATCCTTGGAATTTGCTCAAGCCACCATTTTAAGCAGTTTGAAATGGGGCTTGGGCCACCTCTGGAAGAAGATCAGGAAAGCCCTTTCGGATTCAGGGGCCAGCCATCCGGTGAACCCCCGTGGGAAATGAGGCTGGACCACCGGCTGTGAATTTGGGCGGCGGGTTCTCGAGTCCGGGCATCCGCTCAGTTTCACCAGGCTGCTCCTGCCTGCTCCCACGTTCTCCCACTGCAGCACAACGGGCACTCTCCCGGCAAGCTGAGCCTCCCCCCCCCCCATACACACACACCCCAGGCTCACCTGGGCAAAGGAAACTCTGGGCTAAGGCGTTGCGGGACAAAGAGACACCCACACCCACACCCCGGCTTCAGTGATGGCCCTTTGTTCTGCTCTCCTGCCTCTGCAGCATGGCTGAAGTGTGATGTCCAGGAGAGATTTCTCAGCCCTGCCCAGCTTCCTGCCGCTTGTGAGGGTGGAGCAGGAGGAATGGACAACGCTGCCAGTCCATTCTGGATGGCGCCTGGCCTGGCCCCGCGCAGACTGAGGATCCTCAGGTACCTGATTGGGTGAGGGTTACTGCGGCTGTCACCACACCTGCTTCCTAACAAGGACGTGTGATAATGCTGCTGGTGATGGCACGGTTAGAGCTGGGAATGGCCCCCCTCCCCCTCTCGGCGCAAATCTGGTGCAGGCGCTCCACGGTCATTTTGGCTTTGGCTGTGACAGGCTGGATCCCTGCGCTGTGCATCGCATGCTTGGGGGTGACGGGGGGGGGACTTGGTCGTCAGAATATCCATTTCAGGATAGGTGGATGGCAGACCTCTGGCGAGCCCAGGCCTGCGTCAGGGTGGCGCATGCAGGAGGCTGGCAATGCCCCCCCCCCTGTCACCAGGAGAAGCTGCTCAGAGGACTCTCCTCCTCTTCCCTCCGAGCGAGCGCTCAGAAGCCCATCCCAGCATCGTGGTTCAAAAACTGCCGGCTATTTTTGGCAATACCACTGTTTTCACAAACAAGACATTCAGTTTTGGTTGGGAGGGGGATCTCCTCCTCCTCCTAGGAGGCGCAGAAGTGGCTTCATAGGTAGGCGGGCAGGCAGGCAGGCAGGCAGGCAGGCAGGCAGGAAGGAAGGAAGGAAGGAAGGAAGGAAGGAAGGAAGGAAGAAAGAAAGGAAGGTAGGTCTCAGCCAGGGGACTCCTTTTGCAAGTGTGGAGCAACAGCTGTCCTCCTCTGGAAAGAGAGCTGCAAAGAACGGCAGATCAGGCGCCCTTTTCCTCGAACCCGGGACTGGGAGATGGGCCGGCCTGCCAGCTGCCTGTCTCTGGCTTATTCAGGAATCGGCATCCTGCGAAGGAAGGACTCTTCCTCCTCCTCCTCCTCCTGGTGGCTGTGCCTTCCTCAAGTGCCAAGTTATCACCCCGGTGTAATTTTCCATGCCGAGATAGCTGAACTCCCTTGAATCTGCCTGTCTAACAAACCCATAATTTAAGAGCAGCACAAGTGGGAAATGTCTCAGCCCCAGCAGCTGAGCTCCCATTTGCCTCTCTATCAAGGCAATCCCCTCTGCTGCACCCTGGGACCGTCTCTGAGCAGCCTATGGCGCATGGGGCCTCCCTCCCCTTCTCCCTCAGCTAAGGAAGGAAGGAAGGAAGGAAGGAAGGAAGGAAGGAAGGCCCGTCACAGCCTCTCTGCCCAGAGCAGCAGTTGGGCCAGCAAGGGGAGGAGGCTCCTGGGTAACAGGGCCCAGCCATCTCTCGGGATGCCCCAGTGACCAGCTGGACGAGAGCAGGACGAGACGGGGGAGCCCTCACCGTGCGCCCTCCCTTCCCCCACCGAATGGCCAGCCGGCACCTGGACAGAGATGGGTCCAGTGGCCTTTCTGGGACTGGGAAAGTGGCAGAACCCTTGGCAGTTCCGCCCCAGGGTCAAATATACCGGGTGGCAGCGCTAGAAAGTATTCCAGGAAGTTTCTAGGCGGCCACTTGCCAAGGCAAAGGGGCGCCGCCTTCCTCCCACGGAGAGCGTGGGCGCCCTCCTAGAACTGCTTTTCAGCTGGTTGTTTGAAAGAGCAGTGTGTGTGGGCAGCAACAGATCCAGAGGCGGTTCAGAAGGCTGGCCTACCTGCGAGCAGGAGGAGCCCCCTCCACGGACAGAATGGGCCACGTAGAGCTTTTTCCACATCCAAGCTCTCTAGGAAATATTTATGGAAGAAATTGGGAAGCCCGGATCGGATCCACCAGTTTGGGCTCTGCATACACTGTTCAGCTGCAGCCAAGATCAGCCCATGGAGCAGCTCAGCGGAGACCCCAGTGTACTGTTTTGTCCCCCCCCCCCCAAGACCAACTGAAGACCAAGGAAAGCCTGGAAAGGGGCCCTTGGAAGAAACCCTCCCCGCTGGTTGGACTGGAAGCAATTAAGCAGACATGCAAGAATCAGGAACTTTGAGGTTTATTACAGAAAAGCTCTTTTGAAAAACTTGGAGCAGCCCCAACTCTTATTTTGCTGAAATTGGTGTTCCAGTTCCTGCACTGCTTCCTCTTCCCCAAATGGGATGGTCCTCGCTTTGGGGCCAAACTGATTTCCATCCCAGCCGTAGATAAGCGAGGGGACAGGAAATGTAGTTATGGGGGCTGGGGGGGGGGGTTTGCCTCAGCGGATGTCCAGGCCTGGCCAAGACCAGGATGCTGGTTTTACAGCTCAGCCACGGGGAAGCGGGGAGGAGGCTGCCTGCCCTCCACTTCCAAGCATTTGTGCAGGCTGTGTACCAATTGCAGCATTTGGGGTTCTGCAGCTCTCCTTTTCTCTGGGACCCACCTGCTCCCCCCCCCTTCCTTCTCCTTTGGATTGCTCTGGAAGAGCAGGAAACCCTCCCTCCCCACCGGCTGCTCCTTTGTGGATAAGCCTCCCCCCCCCTCTTTCATCCCACCCACCCTAAACCTGGCCAGCCATATTTGCAAGGCAAGGGACAGTCCTGGCCCCAACCTTCAGGGGAGGAGTAGCAATGTGCTCCAAAGGGGGGTCTGCACAAGCTCCTGCCCCCAGGTGGGGGGAGGGGCTGCAGCCTGCCTCTGCTTTGACTCGTCTCGAGGCCATTTCCACCCATCTGCAGGACACGTCTCTGCCCCCAGCAGTGGCCTTGCAGGGGTTTTCTTTTGCACCTTCCTAGATCCCCAGCCAGTAACCTGCCGGGGGCCATCAAGATGTTCAGAAGAACAGCAACTGCCTGCTCCCTGCTGACAAGTTTCCTTTTCGCAGGGCACTGAAGGCCGATGGGATCTGTGCGTCCCTGCTTTTTGGTCTCCCGCTAGTCCTAAGGGCCACAAGCTGCTGGCAGCTGAGCTGGGATGAACTGGAGGCCAACCAGCAGAATTTCCAAGCCTTCTGCCACTGCCTGCGGGTGAGTCTGCAGCAGGAGGGGGGTGGGGGAGGAAGGCCGTCCCGCTGGCAGCTCTGAAGCCACCCAGCCTCTGGGGCAGAGAGGACAACTCCGCAGGTTCTCCGGCAGGCAGGCTGACTGTACTGCTGACTGTGTCTCAGTGGCACCTCGCCCATTGGCATCGCTCCTCTTTGGCACGTGGCTGGCAAGAGAACTCGCAACACAACGCCCAGGGCACCGGTTTTGTCTTCCAGAAGCGGAAATGGCTGCTGCTTGCCAAATACGAGGCCTGGGGTGGGCCAGACCTCAGCGGACGCCTCTCCGTAGGCACCTTACAGGTCCTGCTGCCCTCGGACTCCTCCACCCTGCTGCTGCGCCCGGTTGTGGCCCGAGAGCTGCTTCTGCCTTGCAGCTTTCCTCCCCTCCCTGCTGACCTGCCAGAAGCAGCACTGGCTGAGGTGGAGGTAAATGAAGAGAACAGGGCACCCCTGCAGGGAAAGGGGCACCCCTGCCTTCCCCTGAGCAACTACTCGGCCTCTCCCGCTCCAGGGTGTCCTCAGCGGCCTGGAGCTTGAGGCAAGCTACGATCCCCTGCTGGGAAACGGTCATTTGTACCAGGCCCTGAAGAGGAGCCTGGGCCGCCTGCCCACCTCCCGGGTTCAGCGCTGGGCACCAAGGCAATGGCCCCGCCAGGTACCAAGGGGCATGGGTGGCATGAGGAAGGACGGGGACAAATGTGGGCCTGTCAGCAAAGAACCAGCCCAGGAGGCGGGGGGGCCTCCAACATGGCTGCTTAGGAGGGCAAATGCAACCCCTCCCCCCGAAAGGGCTCTGCCCTAACGCCCGGGGCACCTTCCAGCCTTTGGGATGGGCTCTGTTACTAACGAAGCAGGAAGGGCAGGAGCCCCCCCCCCCAAGTTGCCCCAGCAGTGATGGTGGTTCTTCCCCCACAGCAGGGGGGCCGCATGCATCCCAGCAGGGCCAGGGCCACTGTGGCCCCGCTGCAGGTGGGCCTTCCGCTGGCTGGCTCTGGCAGCCTCCCCCTTTCTCTGAGCCAAGGAAAGGCGATCCCAGAGTCCAAGATGTAGCCGCCTTTGTCCACGCGTCTCGGCCACGGAGGACGCAGCCTGCCTTCTTCACAACCACAGGGCATCCTCTGCCAAAAGAACCGGAGGCCCCCCCCCCGCCCCAGGCCAGCTTCTTTGGCAGCAACCCACCTCCCCCATACACCCTCGCCCAGACCAGGGGGAGTGGGGGGGGGTTGGATGTTCCCTGCAAGCCTTGGGCAGGAGCAGGGCCAACCTGCGTCCAGCCTGGGCTCCTGGGGAAGCGGGTGGAAGGGGAGGAGGGAACTGTTTGTGGCACTTCCTGGTTTCTGTTGTTCAGCCTCCTTCCGGCCTGGCTCAGCCACATCCTTTGCGCCAATAAACCTCCTTGTGACAGCCTGAGCGAGAGTCTCCTTCAGCTCCTTCCCACAAGCGCCCCGCCTGCCTCCTGCTGCCCCAGGAGCTCTTCTCAGCCTCCCGCAGAGGCAGGGCAGCCACAGATACAGTCCCAGGGGCCTCAGCCCACCACTTGGGCTGCCTCTGGCACACGGGGTGGGGGGTGGGGGGGGAGGGAGGCAGGCCAGGCCCAGCAGAGGCCCTCCCCGGTTCTCTGCAGCGATCAAAGGAAGCAGCAACCTCCTAAATGGCTTGGAATGTGCCAGGGAGGCTTTCTGGTCTCGGCTGCTGAAGGCTGCAGTCCCAAAGAAGTGACGTCCCGGTGGGCTCCCCAGGAGTTCCCTCCTACCTTTGGGGCCGTTCCCGTATAGCGGCTTCCTGGCTTGGCCTGTGTAGCCTCAGGCTAGGCTGGGTCCCTCGGAAGAGGCAGCTTTTGCTGTCACTTTGGGGGCTCAGCCCGCCTCTTACAAGAGTGTGTAAGCGTCTCCCCCCCCCCCAGAAGGCAGCCTGAAGAAGAAGGTGCCCTTGGAAAGACTGCTCCAGCCCAGCGTCACTTCTCAGATCTCCCCCAGGTCTTCGTACACAGCGGCTGGCCGGTTCTCATCCACGGACTGCTCGGGTCCCAGGGGGCCGGGAGCTGAAGAAGGCTTGAGCACGCGGCTGTAGAGGAGGTCTCTGCTGTTGTTGCTGTTGTTGCTGTTACGGAGCCCCTCCGGGCCCGGTGTGGGAGCCGCTCTGGGCTTGCTGGCCTCTGGCTGAGCGGACTTCTTGTGCGCCCGGGGAGGCTTGGGGGCGGGGCTCGGCCTGGGGGGTTTCAGCCCGGCCTTTTGGTGGAAGACAGGGACAGCATAATCACCGGTTCCGGGAAGGTACAGCAACTCATAGCCAGCTTGGCCCTCCAAGCCCTGAGTCCGCCAGGCCTCGCAGGGGAGGCGTGCCTCGTCATAGATGGCGGCTGAAGTGGGGGTGGGCCACGGGGCCCTTCCCTCAGGTTCATCGTAGATGTGCTGCTTGCCGCTCGGGAGCCCATGGCCCCCACCAGTCCATGGCCTGGGCTGCTCCTCCACCAGGCTGGAGCCCCGGCCCAGCCCTTCTTCCTCACGCTGGCTGTCAATGGGGTCAGCGTAGAGGGAGTCCGGCCGGAGCCTCGAGCCCTTCACCGCATCCAGAGGCTCAGAGTAGACGTTGGTGGTGTCCTCCAAAGAGCCAGGCATCCCAGAGGGGGGAGGCCGCAGGGAGGGGAGAGGCCACTGGTTCTGCCCTTTGGGCACGGCGGCTTCCTTCTCCTCCCCGGCGACGCTGGGCCTGGCTGTCAGGGCGCTCCTGGGTGCCCGTCTCTCCGAGGCAGCAGCGCCCTCCCCCTCCAGGCTGAGGGAGTTGGCCACGGCACTCTGGAGGTAGGAGATGCCAGGGGCCTCCATCTCAAGGGAGCTGTTGCTCTGCCGATGCTCTTCCGCCTGGGCCTTCTGAGCCTGAATGGCAGCCTCCACCACATGGAAGATCTCGTTGCCCTGCTTGGTCTCAAAGGTGAAGTTGCCGGGACCGGATTCACAGCGCCGGCCAGCTTCGAAGGAGAACATCACCTGCCATAGGGAAGCGAGGCCCTGTGGTCAGCCAGGACCACCCCAGGGCAAGTGGGGCAACCCCTGATGAGCCTTCCCTCACAAAGCCCGTGCTGGGATAAGTTCCTCTCCCTCTGGCTCAGGGAGCCCAACTTCTCCCTGCTTCCCAGATCTCGGGGTGGGGTGGGGGGAACGAGGCAAAACCCCAGAGGGCCAGCTCCTCTCCTGCCCGACAAGCTCACCTTGTCCCTGCCATATCTGCGAAGGAGGCGATAAGGCCATGTGTAGAGGGGCAGGCTGGAGTGGGCCTCCCTCAGGACGAGCTCGTTCCAAGAGGCCTTCAGCATGTACACCCCTTGCAGCTTGCAGCGCTCGGCAGCTTCGGTCTTCTGTACGGTGACCCAGAACTCATTCACTGCAGCCGAGGGGAGAGTCAGAGTGGACGGCCGTCCTTGTGGGGAGACCACCAGGTACCACCTCCCCATCCCTGGTAGAAGGGGTGGGGGTGGGAGAGCACATACCGTACCACACAGGAGCACCCTGTACTTCCTGCCCACCTCCGTAGCTGCCAATGCAGGGTCCAGTTTGAAAACCAGGAGCAGCCCCACCTCTCACCCTCACGTGTGTTGCCACTAAATGAAAGTTTCCGAGGGGGACCAGCTGGACCGTCCAAGCTACAGACGGGACGTGCTGGCCACGCTCAGCCATCAAGTCCTACCTTCTTCTCTGGAGCAGTAAATGGAGTTTGTGGCCATTTCCAGGTCCCGTTCTCCAGCGGTCTCCGTAGCAGACGAGGTCGTTTTCCCAGGGTTAGTCTGCGATGAGGGTCATAAAAGGTCTCAGTGGCAGCCCTGGCCTAGCACTTGAGCAAAAAGAGCTGATTCTGCCTCAGTTGCCCAAAGGCCTTGACAGGATTGGCAATTGCTCTGATCTTTGGGGGCTTCTGCAGGAATCCAATGAAGCTCTCCAACCCAGAGCTCTCCAGACGAACAGATCGTAAGGGGGCCAATCCTGCCCCTCGGGAGCTCTTCCTAACAGTCTCTGGGCCCACCAGCACTCCAGAATGGGAGCCGATGGCTTGAGGCCTCCAGATGCTTGGATGGCATCACCCACCCGGTTTCTTCACCGTCTTCTCACAGGTCTCCTGATCCAGCTTGTTCCTTTCCAGGAACTTGTTCCAAGTTTTTAAAGTAGGTCCCCTGAACTAGATATAGTGCTAAATTTGGGTCTGAAGAACATTTTGCTTGGTGACACAAATTCTGGAGAACTCTCACAACAGGGCAAGGAGGGCACAGCTCGGCCACTCAGCCTCACTCCCCTCTTCATCTGCATGTACCAGCTCACCCGCCAATTTCTCAGGGCTTTTTTTCCCTACCTCCCATGGGCTTCTGTCACTGCTGGGAGCCTTGCCTTTCTTCCCACCCCTAAAGTCATCCTGCGTGGGTGGGTCTATGCCCTTCGCTTCAGCTACTCCCCCCCTCCCTCCCTCCCTCCCCCCTTGCCCTGCTCACCAGAAAGGCTGCCTCGCAGAGCTTTGCCACCCAGTCAGACGCCTCCTGTGGCTCGGCAGCGAAGACATACGTGCGGCTGCTGGTCTCCAGGCAGAAGGCAGCCATGCCATCCTTGGGGGTGCAGTCCAGGGCAGGAGCCACACTCACACAGTCTGCCAGCCGCACAATCTTCTTGTCCAGCCTCTTGGTGTTGATCCGGTCAGCTGGAGCAGCCCCCTCCTTGCAGTCAAAGAACTCCAAACGGGCAACTCCGTGAGGACTTGCTGGGTACAGCACAAACCAGCTTTTCTTCCACCGCTGCAAGCAAAGACAGGCTGTGACAGCAGGTCAGGAATGGGGGGAACCAAAAAGGAAAAAAAAAGATTTTTTGGACTCATTTCAGTCCGGAGTAAGGCCCGCCAATGGGATAGAGACAGCCTTGGTCGCACTCATGGGTGCTCTCTGGCAGGACGGGCACTGCAACCATTCTTGCTCTAGCTGCCTTCACCAACCGGGGCATCCTTTGGGGCCAGCAGCAGAGTTATGCACCAATTCGGGGTTGATAGGAAGCAAGAGACCCAGCCTTCGACCACCCACAGGGCTCAGTACTCTTTCCTCTCCTCTCTAACATCTACACGAAGCCCCTGGGCAAGACCCTCCATCACCCTGGGTTGAGGTGTCACCAATAGGCTGATGATACTCGGCAGATTTCTGCTCCTTAAGCAGGAGCTCTGAGTCCAAGACAACTCACAAATGGCACACCAGTCTTGGATGAGGAAATGCAGCTCTGTCTGAAACGAAGCACGGAAGGTCCCCAGAACTGGAAATCCAGATTTCTGCTGCCACTCAGCAGTGTGAGGATTGAGCCTGAATAGGTTCTACCTCATTGGGACAGGATCTCAAAGGCATGGGATCAAGATGGATCATTTCCTTACCCAGTGGTTTCATGTAGATATGGTGAAATGGTGAGTTTGGAGCCCTGTGGCACCCCCACAAGCAAGGGGCGGTGGACTTGACTCTTCCCCCCCCCCCAGTACTAATGGATGGGATCACTCCCAACCCCCTCGGCTTTTCCAAAGAACACTGCGGTCCATGGCCTTGAAGGCTGCCCAGAGATCAAGAAGCACAAGGATGGTTACATCATCTCCATTCCTGCTCCCCTAAAGATCATCAACAAGCGTGACCAGTGCCACCTCCATGCTGTATCCCAGGAGCCTGAAGCTTGGCTCCAGGTAATCCATTTTCTCCAGGATCTCCTGGGGCTTTTCTGTGACCAACCTCTCTACAACGTCCCTAAACGGAGAGCATACACCACTGTTTCCTTTAGAGCTGAAGGAACCAGCTGCTGTTCTAGCTCGGAGAAGCTGATGCCATAGTGTGGATTCAACCAGAGGCCACTTCCCAAACGAGTTTAAAAACTCAGAAGGGACCCAGGTCTCATAAAATCTGAAAGGCCCCATCTACTTCATTGGGGGTCAGACTCCCCACTCATCCCAGATAATATACACCGAACACCTCAAGTGGGCCTGTCCAGATGAACTGAGCAAATCTGTGTATCCACAGGTAATATTCTTCACAGTAATCCAACAGATGTCCCTGTGCCTCATCCTTCCCCAGCAGGGATCAAATTATCTTAAATCTGGCTGCCTGCCGGATGGCTTGTTACAAGCACAATAAAAGTGGAAGAATTAATAATTCTCACCTTTTTCAAGCATGTGATTCAGAAATGAATCAGAGGCCATCGAAGAACAGAAAAAGCACTCAAATAATTAGGGACTATTTCTTAAAAACATCTGCAGACCCCGAAGCCGGACAAAGGCATCCCAATTCTAATTCCAGAGAGATCAAGAAACAGGAAATGGCCCACCACTCTCTTCCCCAACTGCTAGATCTAGATCCATCTATCTAGAAGGCAGATGGGTTTTTCTTCCATGGCTGGTGCAATCCCCTAACTAAAAAACTTGGCAACTCGGTCCATTGTGGGGTAGCAATTCCACAGCCAGACTATGGATTGTCCTTCCTCTCCCTGGTCCAGAACCACTTCCTCCTGCCAGAGTGAGCGGACAAACAGTATGATCCCACCACCCGGTCATCTTGCCCATCTAAGCCAAAAGACCAAGAATCGCAGGCCCTTGCTCGCTCGTGGTTAATTCTGTCCCTTAGCAAAGTGGCAATCAAACCAGTTTGGACCATTCTGCAGATTTTGATCAAGAAAGAATAGCAGTCTTTCCAAATTACCCCCAAGGTGGAATTTTGCCTTCTCGTGGCAATAGGGGGTGGGTCAATTCTCTCATATGGGGAGTGAAAGTGCTTTGCAACAGCAAAATAAAGCAGTAAAAAGATGAATTCACATTAATGCAGCAAGGGTTAGAATAAATTGGCATTCAACCAGTTGATTTAAGATCAAAATGAAAAGAGAAAACGTGCAATTAAAACCGAGGCATGAAAGGAAAGGATGGAGACTGAACCCTCTGGCCGCTCCTACCAAGAACTGCGACCATCAAGATTCCTCTTCCCAGTAGGTCCACAGTCATCTGAGGATCGTCTTGGGTCATTTGTAGTTGCTCCCATTCAAATCTGAGGAGTGGGCCACCCAAAACCCCACTTTGGTGGCAAAATCAGCTGTTTGTCGGCAGGAGAAAAAAACTGCCTTGCCACTCAGCACACCACATTCAGAGGACATTCTCATTTGCAGGGCTTCAAGGACGCTTCCCTTTTTAGCTCAGATGCCCTCAGTGTCTGTGATATGAGGAACCTTTTTCCTTCCGGACACTCTTTGCCTGCCTGCCTGCCTGCCTGCCTGCCTGCCTGCAGGGAATTGCATTTACCGTTTAGAAGCCTGTTTCCTCCTTATGGAGTCCTCAAACTGGCCTCCTCCAATATGTTCCCCCACTAATTCTGAACCTTGAGAATTTCATAAATCACCAATGTCAGGACAGGACAATGAAAACTTCTACTCCTTTTTACTGCAAGGATTTAATGTGAATACCTGCCTCAAAGTGGATCCATTTCCGGGTCTCTACTTCTGAGAAGAAAAGCTTGCAGGCAAGGCAGGGGCTTGACATGGACAGCAGAGGAACCATCCCAAGACATGCTGAGGTCTGCTCAACCTCCCCTTATCACTTCCTTCTGCTCCTTCTAGAGAAGGTTCTTCTTTTAAAACCAACGGGGACTGTTTTGTATTTCCTTGGCTATTATGGCTTACCTATGTCTTATGTTTGCTGCCACTGTGACCAGTTTCCAATCAGTTCATTACCTCTTATATTTTGTAAACAGTCCTGGATGTCACTGAGGGGCATGTCCAAAGCTACCTAGCATAATTGGGTGGGGGATCGTCACTTATAGCAGTGCTGTTTATTACAAATTAAATACAACCACATTTGGGACATAATCTGTGGCCTCGGGGATTAACCATTTTGGATTTTGTGCTACAACTCAGTATTGCCCAGAGCCTTTCTGCCTGATGGATAAAACTGCTTCCCTATTTTATTTTATTTTCTATTCTTTTTTTCACTCTTTCCACTCCCAGAGCACTGGCTAGGCTGGATGCAGTCACTTAAAGGGAGTGTGGGGAGCACTTGCCATTTTGGAAGATTCCTGCTTGCTTGTCCTCTTAACACCCCACTGCTTCCTTTCCTCATCTTCCTTAAAAGGTTGAATTCAGAAGTGCCATATCAACCAACCATCTTCTTCATCCTACCAGGTTTCCCTTGTGCGAATATGGTTGCTCCTGACCCGTATCCTGGCCCTCAGCCTTCTGGCATTGACATAAATGCTTCTCAGGAAATGATTTCACCCAACATGAAGTCCTGGTTGTCACTTCCAAAGCTAATTAGTTTCCCTGTGGTAACTACTAAAAAATGTATGGATTTTTTAAATTAAATTTCTAAGGTCACTCAAATCTGCACCAGCTCTGGACAGATAGAGTCAAAACTGAATACAGATAAAATACCAATAAGAAACCCAAAACTTTCAGAGGATATCCTGCTCACCCAACTCGGGGCCCGAGGAAAGAGGCCGTGCCCTTCTAAAACCAGTAAGGTGGGGGCTAGGCATATTTGATGCTGTTCCAAAAGGCAGGTACTGCAAGAGGGAAGGGCTGCCCCACCAGGTGGCACTGCTTGAGTGACAGGACGAGGACCAGATCTTATCAGTTGGGCAAAAAGCACCTTTAGAGAGTTGGACCTTGTGCAAGGAAGGGCTTCACAGTTGATAGCTAACAGCTTGAATTGCACCCAGAAGCCTTCTGGTGACAAAGGGGTTAAAAGGGTTGTGATGCTGCATGAACTAGAGAGTAAGGATAATGACCTTGACAGAAATATGCACAAGGTGTTGTTATCTATGCAAAAGGAGCTGAAAGCATTTTTTAAGTCCAGAGTAAGGGGATGCATTTGGAAGCAGCCTCCAATTCATAGGACTATAAGGAGGAGGAGGAGGAGGAACAGCACAATCAGACTTGCAAGATTCTGATATTAGAACCAATCTCAATAAAGTAGTTGCAGCCGCTTTTCTTGGGGAGTTGATTCCTGATCCACCTTTATATGGGTGGCCATATAAACTGATTAAAAAAATAAAAGAGGAGCGAGCAACCTAGTTCAGAACTGCAGGTGAAAAGTTAACTAGCTCAAGAGTCACCTTTGACTCTGAGGCACCAGAAAAAGTGAGCCGGTGACTGAACAGCAACCTGGTAAGGAAGGCCAAAGGGTGTCGCTCTGGAAAGCCTAACCTGGATACCAGAACTGGAAATGGGCAAAGGCGCCACAAGCAGCCCTGCTTCCTGCTCCACGCCCTTATAGCCCCTGCCAGCCACAGGGGTGGGTAGCTGGCTGCTGCCTCTTGCCCCTTTCAGAATCAACCACGGGACCGGAAAGGCAGAAAGCTGCTTTCTTCCGCTCTGGCGCCTGAACTGTGTTTCCCATATGCAAGAGACAGAACATACACATCCCTCCCCAGGGATGAGAGTAATCTCCCCACCCAGATTCAGGAAGATCTTTGGGCCCAAAGTGTTGTCAGCTCATGTCCCCCCCCCCTTTTTTTTTTTTAAGGGATGGTTTTTCTCTTACACTGTGCACTGTTTTAATAAAGAGAGATACTTATTGCATAGATTCCTTGTGTATACTAGCAGTTTTCAAACTTCTGCAAGTTGTACTACAGGGCAGCTGAAGAAAAATTCAAGGATCCCCCAAGGAAGAAACAAAGCTCTAGCCACAGAAAACTGGCTGCGTTTTCGTGCTCCCCCTCCGCCTGACAGGAACCCCACCCATACCCCCCCCCCGGTTCTGCAGAAGTTTGAAGATCTGCGATCTGCGCTATCCAGTGGGAAGCTCTATAGATAGCAACCCAATACACAAAGCAGGTTCAGCCCAAGAGCCAAAGGTGGCTTTTTCTGCCCCCTCCCCTCCTCCCCCCGCAAAAGGCCGAGAAACCACTACAGGAGGGCTGCGGAAAAGAACTGGAGGCGAGCCCGCCCGGCGTTGCAGCCCAGCCGGAGGGTCTTCCTCACGACTGCGTCCTGCGCCTGCCTCCTCCTGGGAGCAACGCCTTTCCCGAATTCAGCGGGCCGCCAACCGGCACCAGGACGGGGTACCGGCGATGCGAAAGGCTAACGCGGCTCGTGGCTCGCGCGCGCGCACCGAAAGCCTGGCTCCGTCTGCCCCGCGGTCCAAAAACCAGGAAGTGCGAGCCCGCCCGGCTTCCTCCCCGAGAGCGGAAGGGTCCTGCCCGGGGCGCTGTCCGAGCGGCGGCGGCGGCGCCAGGGCTTCCCACGCGGCGCACCGGGACTCCGCTCGGGCCAGCGCGACGGCCCTCCGGCTCTGCCCAGCAGGGGAGCCTCCCGACCAAAGGAGGCGGTCTCGTCGCCGCGCCGAGCGCACTTTGGGGGAGCGCTTTCCCCGCGCGGCGGGAGCGAAAGAGAAGGCAACGGAGGCGGCTGCCGGGCAAGGCGGGGAAGGGACCGCCCGCTCCTCCCGCCTGGCTGCACGGGAAGAGGAGGGGGCGAGGCGACGAGGAAGGCGCGCAGGAGCCCGGAACCCCCGACCGGAGATCCCCGCCTCGCGCGGCTACCTTGGCCCCCAGGAGCAACCCCGGCGGCTGCTGGAGCAGGAGTGGCCCCGACTTCACTGGTGGGTCCATCCGGAAACTGGGCTGGGCGCGACCAGGCACGGCGGGCGGCGGCGGGCGACTGCCAAGCAGAGCCACTCCGGATCCGTCGGAAGAGGGCGGGCTGCTCGAGGGCGCGTCACGCGCCCCGCCTCCCCCGGCCAGGGGCGGCCGCCGGAGTGGGCTGCGCGCGAGCTAGCGGGCCCCGGAAGGAAGGCGCCTCGGAGCACGTGCAGAGCGCCGAGTCGGGCTGGAAGGAAGGCGTTTCGCCCGCGCTGCGGTTCCTGACGCGCTCCTTCGGGAAGCAGAAGGCTGCCCTGGCCGGGCGATCCGGCCAATTATAGAGCCGGGACAAGAGGCTCTTGGGGAAACCCCTTCTGGTCTGGCTTGGGAGGCCGAACCGCCTCGGCCCTGTCCTGGCAGGAGATGGAAGGGGAGGGAAAGGAGGAGCTTCGGACCTCCTGGAGTCTCCAGGGCCGAAGGGTGGTCTCGGAACCGGGGCAGGAGCAGCAGCTGCGGACCTTTGCCTGGCGACGGCTTCCTTCCAAGGGCTTCCGGGAGGCTCTTTTCATGCCCTCCGAGTTGACCACCGAGGTGAAGGCGCCGAGTGAGAGGGATCCGAGGCACCGGAGGGCGGCCCCCAGACTCAAGTGGGATCCTGGCTGCTCTGGTGCGGAGGGCTCTGGTAGCTTGGGCAGGACTCAACTTTGTCATTGGTTGGTTATCACCCTCCCACTCGTTCAGACTCGTGGCAGCTTACCAGAAAAAATCTGGGTCACAACATTTATGAACAATAAACATCCCCCATCTGATCTAAACCAGTTGACAGCTGACAGCGCAACAATCTCCACCGAAAGAAGGCAACAAACACCAACCAATAGCATGCCAGAACAAATGAAGTGGAACCATCACTCTTCTCCTTACTGTTGGTTATAATATCCCAGCAATAAAGAGTGGCCCCCCCTGCCCCCAACAGGCCTTTGCAAGGCCACCTCCTTGGGGTGAGCCTGATGGCCCCCACTGCTGGAACTGCAGCAGAGAAGTTTCCCTTCCAGACATTGCCTCTTGGGGGAGGGGGAAGGGCACTCCCAGCTGCTGCTGCTGCTGCGTCCTTGGTGTGGAGGGGGGGACCCTTAGAGGCCCAAACCAGCCCTTGGAGCTGGTGCCCTGGGATCACCTTGGATAGGAGGGTCGCTGCAGCTGTGCAGCTGGGAATTGTAGCTCATTGCAAGTGGAATCTGCCTTTGAAAATGGGCTGGAGGCTTCCCTTACAGACTGGGCCTGGTCATGACTCGGTCATACGCCCCTCATTTCTGGTCCCATGCCAGGGATTTGGGGCCCAGGACTGAAAAGGAACTCTTGTTGAGAGGAGCCGCTAGGGCAGGGGTAGGGAACCTTGACTCTTTTATGACTTGTGGACTTTGACTCCCAGAATTCCTGAGTCAGCATGGCTGTTTCAGGAATTCTGGGTATTGAAGTCCACAAGTCATAAAAGAGCCAAGGTTCCCTACCCCTGCCCTAGAGAAATCAAATAAATAAATACCTCTGGCAGCATCGTGGGGGACCTCAGTCTGGATGCCCTCCTATGGGGCTATCTGGATTGAGCCTCTTTGGGGCCCCCCTATGCTCTGAAATGACACCCACATCCTCTACACCCATGATGCCAACTTGATTCTGCTTAAGGCCAAGTTAATACACTTTGTTTAAAAAAATAACGTTGACTTCTATCATGCTGCCATTCAGATTTTTTGTAAATTGGGGGGTGTGGTTTTTCTTGTCCTGCGGTCTAGTGCTCTGCATCCCGAGTCTGACTTTACCCGTTTTAAGCTCCCCTGAGGAAAAAAGGGTTCTAAAGGGCAGATACAAAGGCTGAAGTGAATGAAATGTAATCCTGGTAGTTTTCACACCAGCCCCTTCGGTGGATGACACAAAGGCGAGTGGGAGACTGCTCAGAAAGAGGGGATGTCACAACCAGATCAGCTACATTGGACCCAGAAGGACCCGGGCCGGAGCCTGTAGAGAAGGCGTGGTGTGGAACATCTGCCAGCCACCCTTTTGGTCTTGCTGCTCTTCAATCTTTTTATGGATTCACCAGCAGAGAGACTAGCCAGAGAGGGTTTTATGTTCTCCTGAGGCTGCTAGCAGATGTCCTGCACTATGCAAAGCTTCGCCAGCTGCAAGAGGCCTGCCTCAGCCCAGGGCCTGGGAAAAGGCCCTTCTTAAAGAAGGCTTGAAAGTGGCCAAGTTGAGGGAGACCCAGGTCTCCAGAGGGCAGGTGCAGCCACAGGGAAGGCCGAGGTACCACTGAATGATAACGCTTAATCGATGGGACCAGTGCCAGCCAGCCAGCCAGCTTTGTTGAAGTGCACAGGATGGGCACAGACCGCGGCCATGAAGTGCTTTGTGGTGAGCAGCTCAAACTGCGCCCAGAAGCCAAGTGACAACTAGTGCAGCTCCCATGCAAGGCTGTGATTTGGGCATCACTGTCACACCCCCCACATTTGGCACCGGCTGCCACTTCCGAGAGGCTTTCGAGGGCCGCCCTCCACATACAAGGTAATGAAGGCATGAAGGGAAGCCCCATCACAGTCCTGGCTCTGCCAAAGATAGTCAAGCATACCAGTGTTGTCCCCAAACATAGTATTTCCCCTTTTTGATGCCACGGGTTGGAAGGCTCACTGGCTGCAGGTTCTTGGTCCTGCGAAGAAGCCACCAGGCTGGTTTTCCAGCAAAGATGGGCTCTGGTTCCCTCCCCCCCCCCCAGCCTTTCCTGCCTGGCTCCCAGAGGAGAGGGCAGGCGTTGAGTTGCCCTTCTGGGCCCTGGGAAGGAGCGCAAGCCCCAGAGCAAAGGCCCAGAGATGCCCTGCGGAGGAAGGGGGCGCTTGTCGTGCAGCTCTGGCGACTCCGCGGCGGCTCCCCAACCCTCCTGCCCCCTGGGCCTCGCTCGGGGCCGGCTGCGGTCGGAAAGCCCCGCCGCTCCCAGAGCATCTCGCTCCGTCCCGCCCTGGGCTGGACCCGCCGCTCTCAGGACGCCCCCGGCCAGGCCCCGTCAGGACGGGGCGGGGTGACGAAGAGGCCGGCCGGGGCGGCCCTTGTCTCGGTCTGCGAGCGGCGGACGGAGCGGCTGGACGGAGCAGGTCAGCCGAGGGGGATTCCTTGGGGCGCGGCGGGAGGGCAGGCAGGGGAGTCGGGCCTCTCCCCGGGACGAAGCGGACTGTGGCGCGCGGACCACAGGCAGCCCTTCTCGCTTCTCGGCTGCCGGGCAGGCGCGGCGACAGAGGCCGGGCAGCTCCGCCTTGCTGCAGCTCGGCGGGAAGCTCCGTCGCGAAGGCGACCGGAGACCTGGCGGGGGTCTCGGGCGGCCTCGGAAGGCTTTCGGGAGCTGCCTGGTAGAAGGCGGGAGGCAGAGCGAAGCCGACGGCCCTTCCCGCCGAACTTCGGCGTTGGGTTGAGGGGGGCTTCGAGGCGGCACGCTGGGCTCCAAAACAGGTCCAGCCCCCGCTCCGAAACGCCCCCGCCGGAATAAAGGTAGCTCCGCTCGGATAGACTGCCGCCGAGCGGAGAGGTTGCCGTTCAGCTCCACAGCCCCTTCTTCCTAGCGGGCGCCCGGTTAGCCGGTGCGGTGAGGCGAGCTCGGGGGCTCCGGCCAAGGCCCCCTGGATGAGCGAAGGGATCTAAGTGGCGGCCAGCGGCTGGGCTTTAAGAAAGGGGCGGTGGGGAGCAGAAGAGCCCCTTCTGCACACCCTCCAACGCCCCCCCCCCGCAAGGAGGGCAGTGAACCACCCGGGGGGCGCCCGGGCGGCCCCCCTTCTCTGCCCATCTCATTTCGGGAAGGAGGGAGCTTTCCTGAGCCTGCTGAGTGAGAAAGCGCCCGATGCTGTGGCAAGTGCTCCAGGTCCCTCCCCACCCCAGAGGAGGCTCTGGAAGGGCTGTGGCCTTGCCTGGCCTGGGTGTCTGGTCCTCCACCTGAGGGTTCTGGGCTGGCCTCCCTTGCTAAGGCCAGAGGCCCAGGCGAGCCTGGAGCTCAACCAGACTGCAGCAGGAGGCTGAGGGCGATGGCAGCACAGAGCTGCCCCAAATGTGGGCCGGATGGAAGGGAGGGGGAGAGAACTAAACAGCTAACCAGGCCAGAAACCCAGCTGGGCTGGGATTGGGGAGGCAAAGGCCAGGTGGCTCTCCCTTGGGGGAGCCCACCCCCTCCTCTGGAAGAGCAAGTTCTGGGTTTGATCCCATCCGGCTTGGCGACCCTTTCAGTTGGGCTCTGATCTCTCCAGAAGGCTTGGCCTCTCCCTGACAGCCATGCAGGGGAGGGATGAGGAACCGGGTGCAATCCTGTGTGACGCTCTGCTTAATTTTCCCTGGTCAAGAGGCTGGTTTTGTGTTAGGAAATGGGGTCTCTTTAAAGTGCTGTCCTGCAGCTTTCTGAAGGCCTCCGCTGAGGGGCAACTTGGCAACTTTTCTGTAAGTGGGACATACCCGCTTCCTCAGAACACCCGTCACCCTGCTGCTAGCCCTCCTGTTAATGTGTCCGACTGTGGTGTTGTCCTTTTGAACGGGCAAGGGACTCCAAGCAGAGTAGAGGGAACAACCACTTCCCATGATCTGGACTCGTCTTTTGTAATGTGCTGACCAAACTGGACTCGGTACTGCAGATGTGGACCCTCTGTTCTGTCCTTGTAGAACCTTGGCCATTTTAGCAACTGCATCGCGTTGCTGCGTCAGCTCAGCTCGATGGCACTTTTGCCTAATAAGGTCTCCCCAGGCTAATACTTGCGACTTTCACTTTTCATCTCCAGAACTTTACATTTCTCCCTGCTAAATTCATTTCAGCTCAACCTTTCTAGATATTTTGGAATCTTTTACTAGCATAAAGATTAAGCTACCAAGTCTATGGGTTTCTTTCTTCTGCCCATGTCTGAAGGTGGGGCTGACATTTGCTTTCCTGCTGGCACTTTGCCAGTTTTCCAAGATTCCTCAAGGACCATACAGAGAGGTTTTGTGGTCACCTCTGTAGTTCATAGGCTAGGATGTAATTCCCTGGGACTCGGATTGGTTTAAATTCACCACGTTCTCTCTTATCCTGCTCTAGTCTAGACCAGCCTGGGGGACGAGCCTGGACTCCAATTGGCTACCTAGGAGTTAAGAAGGGATGCCTGCTCCCACCGCCCCTCTTGCCCCCCAGTCGGATTCCTTTTGTTCCTAGCCAAAGCCACCGACCATCTTTTCTAGCTGTTCTCATTTTGAGTGTCTACCACAAATCTCCACTCGGTCCCTAGTTTCCTTCATGGCTGTCCTTAGACCCACTTTCCTCATTGGGACGTTTCCCCATTTGCCCCCTTTGTTCATTCTTCACTCTCAGCCTTCTTGGAGCCACGCTCCCCCCTCCCACCAGCCGCCTTGCCTCTCCTGTGTTTGCCGACCAAAGTCACAGCCCAAGGAAAGTGCTGGTCTCCAGGACTTAATTGCCCAATCCCCGACAGATGCTCCCCGTCTAGGAAGCCCCTCCTAAACATCTGGTTGATCTGGGCGGTGCTACTTTCGCCTGGCCTTTGCCAGAGTTTATGATCCAAAGTTCCCTCTATTCTGCTTTGCCACTGCTGCACAACCTCTCCTATCCCGTCTGAACATTTGAAAATTTGGTGCGTACTTTCTATCAGAATTTTGAAATAATCATAAGGTTGTTGGAACAAATGTAGCCTTCTGTTTTCAGTTTCAATTTCCTTTTAACCATGACATTCCCTTGGGGGACTGAGAGGGAGGCCTTTCTGGGAAGTTCTGGTGTGCTTCCGTTGGGTGGGAGTGTAGAAATTCAGAGTGGGAAGCCCCTCAGTCCAGCCCCGTCTCGGGAAGGACATCCACTGAAGCCCCCACCGGTGGCCCATTCCAGAAGGAGAGGCAGTTCCAATGGAGCTGAGGCTGCTTTGGGGCTCTGGATAACGGCCAAAGGAGGGCATTGAAGCCACGTTTGGCTTCCACGCATTGCCACTTTCAAGCCTGCCACCCTGTGGGTAGAAACGCAGCTAGACAGAATTGGGCCATCAGGTTCACAAAAGGCCACCCCTGCCTTCCCATCCTCCCCCCCGAAAGGATTTTCAGGTATTCAAATTGTGCCACATTTTGCAAGTGTGTCACAAAGTTTGCGTACATTGTCACCCCCTGCCGACTCTCCCATGAGACGGCTCTTTCCACTCAACTTGTAAATTGGATGCAGGGTTTCTGGTTTATGGATTTCCTGTTTTATGATTGTTTGTTTATTGGCTTTATTGTTGTTGTGAGCAGCCCAGAGTTGCTTGATGGGAGCCATATAAATCTTTTAAATAAAAAAATTAATTAGCAGCAGTGACCAGGGCCATAGAAGCAGCCTCCTCTAAACGGCAGCCCTGCCTTTGTCCTGTCTCTGCCCTGGAGTGTGACACCCACCTCGTCTAGCCAATCGGCAGCTCGGGGCTCCATTTCCCCAGGACTTGGGGCGATGTGAGTGGCATCCTTTGCAAACTGGGCATTGCCAGCAGGGTGGTCAGGCTGCTTCCCTGAGCAGCCCCTCGGGCGCCCCCACTTGTTTATGTCCCCCGTCAGCAGAGGAAGGGCCACAGGCGGGGAGGAGGCTGCCGTGGGACCCTGCCCAACAAAAACAAGGCACGTGGGCCATCCCAGAGCCAGTATGGCATCAAGATTGACCACTCCATGTCTAAAGGCGATGCTAAACGACGGGGGTGCCCTTTGTGCCACGGGAGCAGGGGAGGCAGCCTCTGGGGACCTCTCCCCCCCCCCAGGGACCATCAGAGGATTTGCTGCTCTGGGACGGCAACTGCATGCCTGCTCTCCTGTGCGGGGGCAACCCTCTCTTTTGCGGGCTCAGAGCCAGAAACAAGACAGTCTGGCTGCTGCCCCTGGCAGGGCGACAGGGCTAAAATGAAGCGCTGAAGGGTCATAGCGACCGGCCAGCCGGCTGGCCTTCCTTCCCAACAGAGCCGTTCAGGCAAGAATGGAAGCTGGTCAGCCTTGAGAAGGAGACTTTGCAGGCTTTCCTGGCTCCCCACCTGAGACCTTGTGCCAGAGGCAGGATTGGAATCAGACTCCCCTAGAAAAACCAGGGGGACTTGGGGGGGGGGCTGTTTGTCCCAGGACGGTGCCAGAAAGGGGTATCCCTGAGGCACCGAAGGTGGTGCGGGATGACCTGGGGATATACCACTAAAGTGGGACTCCCTCTAGAAGGAAGGGAGGCTCGGTCTCCCCAGATCCCAGAAGGAAGAGAGCAGTCCTGGCCAGTCCTAAAGTCCTACAGGAGCTTTGGTCACAATCAGAGCAGGGGGAAAGTAGTCCTGGGCTGCCATCGTGGCTGCCCCACAGCCGGTCTTGGCACTAGAGAGGGACCAAGCCGTTCTCTCAGATGGGGGGGGGAGACAGCTTGTCCCAGCCTTAATGTGAGGTTTTCCAACAGGCAGTGCTGGGAAAATGGCCCAATTGTTTCCAGAAAGACTCGGCCAGTCAGACTGAAAGCTGCTATGTGGAGGGCGAGGCCCAGAGGCCTGGGCAGGCGTCCTTGCTCTCAGCCAGCCATGGGCATTAATCTCCCATCCCAACAGGCCCTGGCCCACGGAAAATGTGCGTAGTTCAGCGGCCGCTGCTGGGCTTCCTGTTTGGCCCCTGGCTGTGGATGACCCTGGCCCAGCCACCCAGCCAAGCCCCCACCAGGCAGAGCCCACCATCGTCCACCCTACAATTCCGACTGGCCGGCTATCCCCGAAAGCACAACGAGGGGCGCATTGAGGTTCTCTACGACAAAGAATGGGGCACCATCTGTGATGACGACTTCACGCTGGCCAACGCCCATGTCCTCTGCCGGCATCTGGGATTTGTGGCTGCCACGGGCTGGACTCACAGTGCGAAATACGGCAAAGGTGTTGGTGAGCATCACTGGGAAAGGGGTGCCCCGAAACCCCCAGCCCCAAGGGCAGATCTGCCTGATCCTGGACACTGCGGCTGGAGCTGGTGGGTCATTGTAGTATAGGGATGCACCACTTACCCCAAACTCCAGGGCTCAGCCCCAAAGCATGCCGAAAGCCCTACCTGAAATAACAAGCATGCCTTTAAGCATGTGCAAAGCACGTCCCCTGTGCAGCAGTGTTCCCAAAGGCTGGCACATCGGCTCCTGGTGCTTCTGACCACCGGATGGCCTCTTGGCCTGTCCCAGTCTTGAGTTCTCTGGGGGTTACTCCGCAGGGCGCATCTGGCTGGACAACGTCAGCTGTGGTGGCCGTGAGAAGAGCATCGCAGAGTGCCAGTCACGGGGCTGGGGCAACAGCGACTGCTCCCATGAGGAGGACGCGGGTGTTATTTGCAAAGACGAGCGCATCCCTGGCTTCACTGACTCCAATGTGATTGAGGTGAGCTGGCCCAGAAGACGCACCTGTGGAGAGGCGCAGCGAGTCAGAGTGAGAGTTGTAAGAACCACAGAAGGAACATCGGACGGATACAGGGCAGCACTGTCAGTCAACACAGAGATGCTGCTTCCATCATTGCACCCCAAACGTTTCAGGGATATGGCCACCCAGGGAGACCCTGGAAGGCCTTTCAGAGGCCTGCGGGAGGAAGCCACGGCCAGGAGGCCAGTAGTCCCATCCCCATCAGCTGTTCCCGCAGCTGCTGATCCTGGAGTGCGGGGTGTCTGAGGTGGTCCTTCAGGCAATGAGGTCTCTAAAGGCTTTGGGGCACAAAAAGACCATTATTAAGCTAAGATTGGGAGGTTAGATCAGCTGCTCTTGTAGAAGCTCTCAAGATCTTTTGGAAGACCCTCTTCCTAGCAGAACTTTCTTCTTTGGGCTGCTGGTGCTGTCTCCAGATGGGCCCTCCCTATGCCCAGACAGAGACCCTGGTCAGAATCACGTGGAGGCACCATCCCCTGCACTTCCCTGTTTAGCATATGTGAGGCTATTCAACATACAAATCAAAATGAAGTTTCTTCACTTCTGGTTTATTGTGTTGAGTAAGCCCAGTCAAGATAGTTTGACCCACTAATTAGAGTTTAGCATTATGTGTTTTGATCAGCCCAACCTTCACATTGTCTCAGCTGTGCCTTTTTGCCTTTCAGAAGATGGAGACTCTTAGCCTACTCCAAGATGGCCACAATATCTCTAGGCCTTGTCTGAGTTGAGTCTTAGTTTCTTTGCCAAAATAGCCACTTTTTGTATCACAACCACCCCAAGACCAACTGTGGAATAGAAAGGATGAACACCATCTGATCTTTATATGCAGCCTGATTTCCATTTCCTGTAGTTGTTCGCAAGCAAGAATAACACGCTACCATGTGACCCTCAGGGGCCAGGGATGGGCTGCATGCAACCCCTGGCGCCTCAGCGTCCGGCCCCTGGGACTAGGAAAAATCAATAGGACCTTTTACCAGGCAGATGACAGGTCTCCTGCATGTGGGTCCTGTTTTCACAAGGAGATGCTTTCCAGTTGTTTGCAGGCAGCAATGGGATGGCCCGCTTTCCCCCCCCCCCCCCGCCCAGCTTATACTATAGTGCCATTCAAACAATATACGATTTTTTTTCCCTAAAATGTCACATGGAATCTTGTCAAAAGTCTTGCTGACATCAAGGTAAATTATATCAGTAGCATTCCCCTTTTCCACTACTTACTTTGTCGAAGAAAGGGTTGGGATTCACTGCACATGAGCTGCTAAGGTCTAGTAGACATGGCATTTCCTGCAAATGGCCTGCCTAATTATTTGTTCCAACATCTTTCCGAGTATTAATATCAAACTTATTTTCTTTCCCTCTTACATGAATTACTCTCTTGGGTGTATTTTCTACAGCCTCTTTCAAATCCTCACTCTATCCAGCATCCATTTTTACCCTTCTCCTTGTGTAACACTACACCCTTTTGTGGCCCTGGTGATTCATTGCATTCTGTTCCAAGCAGCTCCCGCACCCTCTTTCCTTCCGTCCAGAGAATTTGTTCTCTGCTCCCTAAATATAGCAGCTTCTTAACAATTGGGGGGAGGGAGAAAGGGAGAGAAAGTGGGGAGCCCAGGGCCATGAAGCTAAGTACAGGGAAGGAAAGCTTGTGTAGGGGGGGAGGGGCCAATTCCTGGCCGGACAGACTGGAGGGGCCCCAGGAATGAGGGTGCCAACCTGAGCGACATCTTCTCCCCCTCTCTAGGCAGAGCAGAAACAGGTGGAGGAGCTGCGCCTACGTCCGGTGGTGTCTCAGGCCAAGCGCTCGCTGCCCATCACGGAGGGCATCGTGGAAGTCCGCCACAAGAGCAGCTGGGCCCAGATCTGTGACGAGAACTGGGGCAGTCAGGAAAGCCGCGTGGTCTGCGGGATGCTGGGCTTTCCGGCCGAGAGGAAGGCCAACCGCAATTTCTACAAGTGAGCCCACAGGCTTCCTTGCTCGGCTTGATTCGAGCAGGGCTGTAGGGAACGTGGGAACCTTCAAAGGGCACCGTGTCCCCCTTCCATGTTTTCTGCAGGGGAGGCTGTCATGGGGTGACCTTCCCGCACTGGGTACCTTGCGCCACTCACCTGTCACACAGCAACTTGGCTTACTGGAAAACAATGGGAAGGAGGTGTGACGCCCCTCACTCTGCGCCCTGGGGAAAGAGGGGCCTGCTCAGGAGTCCATAAAGGCAGCCATAAAGGTCATTCAATTGGTACCACCTCCGCACAGCTTAACAAAACTGACCACCTCCGGGAAGCCTGGGTGGCATTTCAGTGGGGCTGCCTTCTTGAAGGTCTCTTTTCCCTTTGGGCCCGGCAGAGCCTTGCCTGGAAACTGCCCAGAGGCGGATCTGGAGACAGGAGGGGGCTGCCTGGGGCAGGGGCAGGGCTCCCTCCCTGAAGGGGCTCTGTGGCCTTCTTTCAAACATGAAAGCCAACCCGACCACACAGCAGGCGGCCCTGGCCATCCACCTCCTGGCCGGGGTGGCAGATCCAGCTGTGAAAGGGGCAACCTCATCCCACAGCACCACTTGGTGCCCCCCCCAAGAGGCTTGTGGGCATGAGGCCCATGGCACGCCTGGCTGGCTCCACTCCCTCCTGGCTGCGCAGGTTGCCCCTCTGGCCTTCTGGAGAGCAAAAGGCCTCTTGCCAAGACCTCCCAAGGCCGGGATCGCTCTGCTCACTCTGGCCCAGGAGCCCCCAGGCCGCCCTCTTGGCCCACAGGCCTGAACTGGGATTGCTCCTCCAGAATGGGTAGGGGTCCGTGATGCCATCCAGTCCAAACCACTGCTCGGTCGAAACCTCCCCTACTGTGGGCTCCTCAGCCCTTGCTTCAACATCCCCATGAAGGGCAGCCTGTCCCCTCTCTGCGTTCCTTGGGAGCCCAGAACCAGAAGGCCCCTGAGGGGGAAAAGTCACCATTTGATCCTACCTTCTTGAGGTCAACTGACTTTGGTGGGGGGTGGGTGATGATGTCCTTGACGTGACATCTTAAGGCGATGCTGGTGGACACACCAGCCATTCCAGAGGGGTTCCATAGTCTTTGCTGCAGCCAGGGGTGTCCAGAGCCTCTCTGGGATGACCTGAAAAGCAGGCCGTGTGAAGGTGCTTCCTTGTAGGAAGAGAGCCGTGTTTGTGTACGGTAGCCCCAAACCTGGAGGTGTCCGGAAACCTCTTTTCCGAACCAGCCAGTTTTATTCAAAGGCAAATGGGGAGCTGCAACAGAAGCCCTTCAGAAAGGCTTCTGTGGTCATTTGAAGAGACACCCCCGGCCTTTTCCCAATGCCAGAACTTGTGTGGAGGCCTTTCTCTCCGTGCAGAAGCAGCCGGGAGGCCCGGAGGTGGCCGTCTGGCAGCCGCCTTAAACAGAGCAACAGTGTGCTCCCTCTCGCCCGAAGAAGTTTGACCGGTGACTCACTGGCGAGGACAAGGGCCTCCATCTTCCTTGGGGGAAAAGGGCTCCTTTGCTGGGTGGAAAGGCTGCGAGAAGGCTCTTCCGTTGTCTGCCTCTCCCCCTGCAAAGCAAGGCAACAGGCCAAAGCACTGGCGGCTTTCCAGGAAGCAGGCAGCTCCTGGATGTCCGAAGAGCTGAGGAGCTGGACTTCCAGAACCTGGCCTATTCTGCCTCACTCGACAGGCCGCTCTGGGGTTGCTGTGGCCCTTTCCCAGCTGTAGAAGGACCCGACCTGCTGAGGGAGACCAGCAGTGGTTCTCCATCCCCCCACCACCACGCACTACAGAGGGGCAGGAGGCAGGAGGCTGGAGGCTGAGAGGTCTGTCCAAAATTGCAAAGCTCACACACCTCCTTGGTCTTTCTCCTGCAGGCTGTACCTGCAGCGCCAGCAGCACCAGTACCGCCTGCACTCGGTCACTTGTGCCGGGCCTGAGGTGCACCTTTCCACCTGCTCCTTCGAGTTCTACAAGGGCAACGTCACAGGGGCCTGCAAGGGTGGCATGCCAGCTGTGGTGAGTTGTGTGCCAGGCCCCCTCTTTGCTGGAGGAAATGCCCATAAAAAGAGGCGGGGGCAGCAGCCACAGCGACAGGTGAGCAAAGGGGAGGGCCGGGTGAGGCCATTGGCACCCAGGATGCCTCGGGAAAAGGTGGGCTGGACACAAAGCCCCTGATGCAGACCCTCCCTGTGCTCCCCCACAGCAGCGGGTCCGGCTGAAAGGGGGGGACAAGATTGGCGAGGGCCGGGTCGAGGTGCTGAAGAATGGCGAGTGGGGCACCGTCTGTGACAACCGCTGGAACCTGCTGTCAGCCAGCGTGGTCTGCCGTGAGCTGGGCTTTGGCAGTGCCAAGGAAGCCCTGGCAGGAGCACGCATGGGCCAAGGTGAGATGGGGGCACCAGCCAGATCATCCTGTACCACCAGCAGCAGCAGCAGCGCTGAGCTTATTCCAAGGCGAGCTTTTCTGGTGGGGTCGAGTATCCTTTTGGCCTCCTTCCAGGCAGCCCCGGCTAGGAGCCGGGACGTAGCAGCCGAGATGGGATCAGTGGGAAGAAGGCAGCTCTTGACTTCCCCCTCTCCGGGCAGGGATGGGCCAAATCCACCTGAGCGAGGTCCAGTGCCTGGGCTCTGAGAAGTCTCTCTGGAGCTGCCCGCACAAGAACATCACCCAGCAGGACTGCAGGCACTCGGAGGACGCAGGGGTCCGCTGCAACGTGCCTTACATGGCCCACGAGACCACGGTTGGCTGGGCAGGGAAGCAGAGGGGGCGGGGGAGGGTCTCCTGGCCAGCCGAGGCCTTGGAGCCAGAGCCGGAGCCCCTTGCCTCACAGGTTGGGGGAAGGCTTCTGCAGCTCCTGAGGGCCCCCTGGCAGGCTTGTCATAAGTGCCTCTCCTGAGCAGCCCGCCCGACCCACTCAGCGGAAAGCAAAAGGACCCCTGGCACCCATCCTCAGCACCCTGCATATGGTTGCGCACAGCCAGCTCCACAGCCTTCTTGGAAGGAGCCACCCTGGCTGGTCCTCTTCCAAAGTCTGGCTGCCACTTGTCTGATCTCTGCCCAGTGTGCCCCAGGAACTCTCCCCACTCCCAGCTCTGCAGTGCCCCACCATTGCCCTCCCATTTTACATTGGACCAGGGTCCCAGCCTGGTGCCCCTGTGCCATCCTTGCCTCCAAAGCTTTTCCCATCCCTCTTCCTCTCTGGGCTGGATCCAGCCTCAAGAAAGAGGGGCGATATGCATGGGTGGTCCGTCCTTCCTCCCCCACCCTGAAAGGAAGTCTCTGGAAGATTCAGAAGTTGCAAAGGAGGCAGGATGGGGGGGGGCAGCTTGGGAAAGCCAAGGGAAGGGGGGGGCAATCTGGGAGCAGGAGAGCTTCCTTACTGCTGGCGGACGGAGGGGCAGCAACAGACTCCCTGGGGAAGCAGCCGGCCTGCCTCCCTGGTTCAGGCCTTTCTCCACAGATCCGCCTGAGTGGGGGCCGGAGCCGTTTCGAGGGCCGGGTCGAAGTGGCCATGGTGGCTAGAGGCTGGGGGCTGATCTGCGGAGAAGGCTGGGGGACCCTCGAAGCGATGGTGGCTTGCCGCCAGCTGGGCCTGGGCTACGCCAACCATGGCTTGCAAGTAGGTCACTACTGTTGAGGTCCAGCTTGGCTGCTGGGAGGGAGGACGGGCACCTCCTCACAGGGAATTCCCAGTGCAGGATTCACCGATAGGCCTGAGCCATGCCACGCACGTGGGCCCCACACACATGGGCAGCAACAGCTGGCCTGAAGGGCAGGGTGGGGCGTGGTAACAGCTCCCATAATGTGACATGAACGGAAGGCCATCGGAGGCTAGGCAGGAGGGCTGGTTGCCTAGGGGCTCTGTGTTGTCCTGGACAGCAGAGGCCGGGGTTCAGGCCTGCTCCACCCTAGCTCTTTCAGGCTGGAGGGGGCGGCTGGGGACGGGGTGCTCCCATTGGAGGCCAGGTCGAGCCAGGCTCCCACCTCGGGCTTGGGCTGACCGAGCGTTCCAATCGCTTTCCTCCTGCACGGTCTCCAAGGAAACCTGGTACTGGGACACCAGCAACGTGACTGAAATGGTGCTGAGTGGGGTGAGGTGTGCTGGGCACGAGATGGCGCTGAGCCACTGCCAGCACGACAGCAGAGTTTCCTGCCGGAAGACAGAGACCCGTTTTGCTGCTGGCGTCATCTGCTCTGAGAGTAAGAGGGTCTGGGGGGCCCTGGGGGTCCTTCTACCGAATTTCCTGGTCTGGCCAGAGTCCAGCACCGCAGGCCAAGCCCCCTCTCCTGTCAGAGGCGGGCAGGGGCTCCGCATGCAACCTTCAGGGAAAGTTGGCCCACCTCACAGAATGAAAGGGAAGGGCAGAAATCCAGAGGCCCTCCTGGAAAGACCCCTCAGGTCCCATCTCCTTCCATTCTCACAGCTGCCTCAGACCTGCTACTCCATGCGGCACTGGTACAAGAGACAGCCTACATCGAAGATCGCCCTCTGCACATGCTCTACTGTGCGGCTGAGGAGAACTGCCTGTCCAGCACTGCCCGCAGCGCCAACTGGCCTTACGGACACCGCCGGCTGCTGCGCTTCTCCTCCCAGATCCACAACAACGGCCGGGCCGACTTCCGCCCCAAGGCAGGACGCCACTCCTGGGTCTGGCATGAGTGCCACGGGTGAGGGCAAGGAGGGGCACAGCCTGGTGAAACCCCTCCCCCATTCCCCCTCACCAGCACTGGGGCTCTCATGCTCCCGGCCCTCCTGTTTTAGGCACTACCACAGCATGGACGTCTTCACACACTACGACCTCCTGACACTTAATGGAACCAGGGTGGCCGAAGGGCACAAAGCCAGTTTCTGCCTGGAGGACACAGAATGCGAAGAAGGTAGGCAATCCTGAGTGGGCAGGGCGATCCAGCACAGCCAGGTGTCCACCTCTAGATCTGCAGGTGAGGCCTTCCCTGCCTGCCAGGCCCCATCCAGCCTTCCTTCTCTCCCTCCCTCCTTTGGGCAGAGGTGGGCAAACGCTACGAATGTGCCAACTTTGGAGAGCAGGGCATCACGGTGGGCTGCTGGGACCTCTACAGGCATGATATTGACTGCCAGTGGATCGACATCACAGATGTCAAGGCTGGGAACTACATCCTGCAGGTGAGGCGTGGCAGGAACAGGCGGCTGAGGCCTTTGGTGGTTGGGAATCTGGGCATGGAGTGGGGGTGAGGTATAAATGCAGAGGCTGCAAGGCCTCAGCTGCAAAGCCGGACAAGGGGCGGAGATTCCCACAATGCAGAGCACAATGCAAAGTTGTGCCTTCCATCCTGTGCTCCAGAGATGGGGGGATGGGAAGCCCGGTAAAGCCAGTCCCGCTGCAGAGCAGCAGTGGTGCCCCTGCCCTGTGGGTCTCGTCTTCAGCTACCAGATATGGTGCTCCTCCCATCTCACCTTCTGCTCCCCAGGTGGTGATCAACCCCAGATACGAAGTGGCAGAAAGCGATTTCACCAACAATGCCATGAAATGCAACTGCAAGTATGATGGCCACCGGATTTGGGTGCATCACTGCCATATAGGTATGGCAAGACCTGGGGGGATGCAGAGGGGCTGACCTGGCAGCGGGCTCTTTGGGGCCTCTTGTGCCAAAGGAGTTCACCCCTTTTCAAATGCCTTGCCACAGGTGATGCCCTTAGCAACGAGGCCAACGGATTCTCTGAACAGTATCCAGGACAGAGCAACAACCAGGTTGTATAGGCGGCAGCTGCCCTCCTCCTGGGCACAAGGCGGGCAGGTGGTACCAGTGGCAGAGCAGCAGGCAAGAGCGCTGGATACCTCCAGTCCCCCAGCCAGCAATTCAGCAGCTGTTTTGCTGTGTGAGAAGCAGGAGTAACTCCTGGGCAGCTGAAAGGCACCACCTGTCACCTGCCTGCTCAGCCAGGACCAGACTGCCACCCCTCCCTCCCTGGCATTCCTCTCAGCAGACTGTTCCTTCTGTGACCACAAGAGGCGCTGCAGGCCTCCCAGGATAGCTGCTGCTGCACGGAGCTGGGAAGGGGGCACCTCCACTCAACTGCCCAGCGGACCCAGCCTTTATCTGGGGCTTCAGCACCGCCTGCATTGGGGCGGCTGGGCCCTCCTATATAAAGCTAGTTGTCTGTGTCCCCAGTTGTGTCCTGACTCAGTGTCGGGGAGAGGGAGGAGGCCGTTGCCAGCAGCCTTGGTGTTTCCTCCATCCTGCTCTAAGCCTGTGCAGCAGAATGGGGCAGCCCTGTGGAAAACAGGCGCTTCCTGGCTGCCATGGGGCTCCCTGCAGGGTGATTATGGGGGAGAAAAGCTCTCTCTCGCACCCCACTTCCACTGAATGATCCACAGGAACCTAGGAGGAGAGTTAGCACTGTAGGAAGCCTGCACACAGCCCCCGTCCACAGAAACTCCCCCCTCCGCCTGTCTGGCTTAGCCAAGGCAGAAACTCCGCAGTGCAGGATTTGGAAGGAAAGTCTTACCGGGAGGAGAGGCATGGGACCTCCCCACTCCCAGCCCTCCAAGTCCCAGGATTCAACCTCCCTGGCTTCCCGCAGCCCAGAGGATTCCCCAGGAGCCCCAATGCCAGAAGGGCACAGCAGTTCCTGCCCCCCTAACAGCAGCTCAGCCGAAGGGAGACCCCGTCAGAGGCCTTATAAGGAACAGCGCCGGAGGGAAACAGAAACGCCTCTGGCTTGGAAAATGTAATTGACTTCAGCCACGCACTCCCAATCCTTACATCGGGTTTTCCAAAGTTCACAGCTGCCACAACGGCTGGACTCCAGCTCCCAACATCCCCAGCCCGGAGGAAGTCTCTGCGGATGGGATAGGCTGGCGCAAAGTATGGCATCCTTCTGGCCGCAGAGCTGCTGCTCTTGGTTGAGGCTCCCCAGCTTCTCTTTCAGAGCCCATAGAAAGGGGCTCAGGCTTCTCTGGCACGCAGGGCAAAGATTCCTGTCACCTCCTCAAGGATGGGCCCACCGGGGTCCCAAACGCCTGGATTACAGGGCTTAAGAATACCTCAGGCAGAGTGCCCCCCCCAAGGGACAGGCTGCAGTCCAGGAAGCTTCTCCCCCCCCCCCAGCAACACCTCCTGCTTGCCCGTCGTCCAGCCGGGGGTAGCGTAAGCGTGTCCAGGGGCAGCCTTACGTTCTAAAGGCCGGACAGACGCAGGTTCTCCGCTAAAGGCTCCTGGAGACAGCAGCCCGAGCTCCCTGCCCCTTCTCCAGAGGAGCGGAATGAAGGGGCCGCCAGAGGAACAAGGGCTCTGTGCCAGTCCAGCCAGGTCCCATCCATCTCCCTGCCATGGGGAGCAGCGACCCAGCATGCTGGTGACTCAACAGAGTGAGCCTTTGGGGCTGTGGGTGCGTGCGTGTGCTGAGTCCTGCTTTGATTCCCCTATTCTGTGACTTCTGGGGTGATGGTCAGCAAGAGCACCTCGTAGCCACGGTGGACCTGCAAAGTCAAGCGGCTCTGGGTCCGCACGGCTTCGTAGATGTCTTCTGCCCGTCGGGATGCCCTCCCGTTGATCTCTGTTATCACATCTCCTGCTTTTAAACCCGACCTGTGAGAGAAGAGCAGAGCAGAGGGTACCTGCCGGGTAGAAGGAGGTCCAAGAACCGCCCTCCCAACCAGCCCAGCACTCACTGATGAGCTGGGGAGCCCACGATGACCTTATGGATGAGCACTCCATAGGAGACATCAGGGAAGGATGGGTTCCTCCCTTTCAGCTCTGACAGGATGCTGGGAAGGGAACGGAGGGAGAGGTTGCAGGGCACTATCCTCACTTGGGCCAGCCTTCCTGGCAGCACCAGTTCCCTCCCCTTCTCAGACAGCCAGGCCTGGCCTCACCAGCGAAGCAGGGAGGGAGGAGGGCAATCCCAGAGACACACAATGCCCAGAGCTTTGGCCAAACAAGGAGGAGGGGAAAGAGCTGAGAAGAGCCGGCTCTGCCAGCTGGAACCTGGTTGGGGCAAGAGGTCCTCCACATAGCCAAAATTGGCTCAAGTCACGCCAGAGGTCCTACCTGGGAGTCAAGGTCAGCATCATCACCCCGATGTAGCGGCGCTTGCCCTCGGAGCCCCCGAACCAGGACTCTGCAATGGGAAAGGCGGCTCTATGGGCCCGCTCCCCCCCCCCAGCGCCCCAGCCAGCCTCAAGCACTGCTTCTAGGGCAGCAGAATCGGGAAGGGGGGGCGGGGGGGCTCTGTGGCAGCATTCGGGATGCCTGTGAGGAGGGAGGGAAATGAGGCCACAATGCTGGATTCCCCCCCCTCCCTTGAGAGGCAACGGAGACCCTCGCTGTCTTGTATCAGCTCCTCACCCTTGTGCTTCTGCTCCTGCTCCAGGAAGACTCGCAGACGGTCAGAGGGAATGGCGAAAGAGATCCCGGGTGTGACCTTCATGGTGTTCACACCAATCACTTCCCCATCCTGAGAGATGAGAAAGGTCTGGTCAGTCACAAATGGGTCAGGCAGCAGGAGAGGAACCATCTTGTGCCCCCTCCCAGGAAAAAAGCCCCTGCGCAATGGCTCCTCCAGGAGTGCCAAAATTGCAGGGATGGCAGCTGGTCTTCCCAAAGGGACAGAACACAGGCCCAGACGCCCTCTCTCCCCCCCCCAAAGCTTACCAGGTTGACCAGGGGGCCCCCGGAGTTCCCAAACTGCAAAGGAGAAAAGACGGTCAGCCAAAGCAGCAGCTTCTTCAGACCCCTTCTATTTTTAAAAAAATAATTAACGGCCGCCCATCTAACATTTACTTTTTGTGAAACTTATACGTGACTCCACGCAGACCTGCTTTATTCCAGCCCTCCCCCCTCCCGGGGAGCTTACGTCGATGGCGGCGTCCGTCTGGATGTACTCCATGTCGGAGGACGCCAGGCCCAGCTCCCGGCCTCCGCGCTGGGCAGAGCTGACGATGCCCGAGGTGATGGTGTTCTGCAGGGCGAAGGGGCTGCCCATGGCCACCACGAACTCCCCCTGCCGCACCTCGGAGGAGCGGCCCAGGCGCAGCGTCGGCAGCGGGTGCTACGCGGGGAGGAGAGCCGCCTCAGCACCGCAGTCCGGCCGCCGGCCGCCCTCCGCCCCGGGAGCCGCTTTCCCCATGGCCAGCCCGGCGGGCGGCGGCGCCCCTCTCACACCGCCCTCTCCCCGGAGCAGGCGGGGCAGCCACCTTGGGGCTGATCTTCAGCGTGGCGATGTCGGCCACCTGGTCCACCTGCCGCACCACCGCGTCGTAGAGCTCCCCGCTGGCCAGCCGCACCCGCACCCGCCGCCGGTTGGCCACCACGTGCGCGTTGGTCACCACCAGCCCGTCCGCCGACACCACGAAGCCCGACCCGTTGGAGATGGGCACCTCCCGGCCCGAGAAGGGGTGCCTGCGGGGGGGGAGCAGAAATGAGCGGCGTTCGGACCCCCCCCCGCCGAGCCCCCCCGCGGCGCCCACCTGCCCAGGATCTCGATGTAGACCAGCGCCGGCGCCGTCTGCTCCACTACGTCCGCGATGAAGTTGTAGGTGCTGCGCGGGGAGCGCGGCGGGGGGGCCGGCACGGCGGCGCTCAGGACCGGCAGCCGCGGGCGCTCCTCGCCGGCCGCCCCGCTCAGCAGCAGCCCCAGCGCCGCCCCCGCCGCCGCCCCGCCCGCCGCCGCCCACCGCAGGGAGGGGAAAGGCGAGCGCCGCTCTCCGCGAGGGCCGCCCGCGCCGCCCCCAGACCCCGTCAGAGCCGCCGCCGCCGCCCCGCGCCGCCCGGGGAACGCCCGCAGGACCGCAGGCAGCCTCGCCGCCATCGCTCGCCGGACGAAGCCGCGGGGCAGGCCGGGAGTCGTAGTGCGGGCGGCCCTCCAGCGGCGCCGGAAGAGGCAGGGCCGCGCGGCCGCGCTTCTTCCGCCTGCCCGCCAGGCGCCTGACATGGGCGCCGTGCCCGCGGCCCGCCCGTGAAGGCCGGCGAGGCGCCCCCGGGGAGGCATGGAGCCGCCTCCCGCCGCCGCCGCCGCCGCCAGCCCGGAGCGCCTCTTCGACTCCCACCGGTAAGGCCGGGGCGAGGCTCCGCGCGGGGAGTGGGGAGGGGGAGGCCTGCCGGGCGCCGGGGCTCTCCCGCCATTCTCCGCGCGCCTCTCTCCGCAGGCTGCCGAGCGACGGGCCGCTGCTGCTGGCGCTGCTGCTCTACGCGCCGGTGGGGCTGTGCCTGCTGCTGGTGCGGCTCTTCGTGGGGCTGCACGTCTTCCTGGTCAGCTGCGCGCTCCCGGACGGCGCCCCGCGCAGGTGAGCGCGCCCCCGTGGGGAGGGAGCGGGCAGGGGGCAAAGAGGGCCCCCGCGGCCCGGTGCTACTGCTTGGGCTCTCTCGGCTGCTCCGCCCGCAGGTTCCTGGTGCGCGCCCTGTGCTCCGTGCTGGGCCTCTTCGTGTGGCAGAGCCGCCCGCGCCGCGCCCGTCTCCCACGGGCCCTGGTGGCCAACCACGTCACACCCTTCGACCACAACGTCCTGGCCCTGCTGGCCTCCTGCCGCGCGGTGAGTGGGCGGGGGGGGGGCGGGCCGGGGGGCTTGGGTGGGCGGGGGGGTCGTAGCCTTCAGCGCTTAGCGCCGTCTCCCCCACAGCCTGTGCTGAGTGGCGGTGCTGCGGGCTTCGTCTGTTGGTCCCGCGGGTTCCTGGAGGTGGCCGGAGCCGGGAGCCGCGTGGAGCTGCTCGAGTCACTGAAGGGCTACTGCTCACAAGGCGCCAACCCGCCGCTGCTGCTCTTCCCTGAGGAGGCGACGACCAACGGCCGGGTGGGCCTGCTGCGTTTCAGGTGCGGGCGGGGGGGGCCAGGGGCCTGGGGCTCTACCGCGTTCGCACCCCTCGCCCGGCTCACCCACCGCCCCTTGCCTTTCCAGCTCCTGGCCCTTCTCCATTGTGGACACGGTGCAGCCCTTGGCTCTACGAGTCTGGAGGCCCTTTGTGGCTGCGGTGAGTCTGGGGCCGGAAGGCGGCCTGGGGCTGCCTTGCTGTGCCTCTCTGACAGCTCCCGTTTTCCCTTCCAGAGCGTGGCTGGCGCTTCCTGGGTCACTGAGCTGCTCTGGACTTTCTTCGTTCCTGTCACCGTTTATCAAGTAAGGTACTACAGCTCTCTGATTTTTGTGGGATGTGGGCTACAGGATCCCTTTGGATCCAGACTCGGAAATCCCTCAACCTGAAGAACTGCAAGGAAATGGAGGCCTGTCGCTGAAATCCTGAGGGCTTTTCACTCTCCCCTCAAGGTGGCTGCCATCTGTGTGCAGACAAGCCGAGGAGACCCGGGAAGAGTTTGCCCTGCGAGTTCAAGAGGTAGGAATGGCAGCGGGGTGGGGGGGTGCTCAGAAGATCCGGAAATCTCAGCTTGGCTCTCTGCTCTTTGCAGCTTCTAGCTTTGGAGCTGGGCGTGGTGTCTACGTGCCTCACAGCCGCTGACAAAGCAGAGCACCTGAAGCGTCTCCACCACCACCTTCCAGCTTCCCATCCTCCCCCAGGTGAGTCTCTGCATCTCTGGGTGAGCAACTCTGTGTGTTGGAACAGGAGCTGGATGTTCTCCATCTTGTTGGAAGAAGCAGCTGGACAGGATCTGCCAAGGAGGGTACTAGGTTCAGCACAGCTGCTGCAGGAAACAGCCTCCCTCCTTTCTTCCCTTGCAGCTCCAAGGCAGCCCTCTGTGGGCCGGCCTCAGGTCTCCCGCAGCGGTGCCTCCATGGAGGACATGCACTTGATAGGCATGGCCCGGCGCGTCCAAGAAGTTCTACCCCAGGTGCCCATGGCAGCCATCCGCAAGGACCTAGGTGAGGAGAGGGAAGCAGCAGCAGGAAGGCCAGGTGTGGTGCTGTGCCCTTCAGCCGAGGAGGTTCCTGGGACCTAAGGGGAAGGGAATGGTTGCACCTTGGGAACCTGGGAAGGGTAGGTAGCCTTTTGCAGCACAGGGGGCCTTGGCAGCTTTCCTGGCCCTCTGCCAAGCCCTGAGCAGGGCTTCCTAGGGTGAACGTGAATCTATTATGGGGCAACGATTGTAGGAGGAACACACAGCAAGTACATTTCCAAGGTGCCTTTGGCAGAGATAAAGCTTTCCCCGCGTTAAAAGGCATCATTTTTCTTTCTCCCCTTTTTCACTTTGGGTGTTTCAGACGTGTTGAGAAGCACTTTTCCTGTGCATAGTTTTGATTTGACTGAGTTTCTTAAGTGTGTGCACCTCATCCTGCAATAGCGTATATGAGAAAGCACACACAGAGCATCGGTAAGCAGTGGGGTACCACAAAGCTCCCTCTTAGGCCCAGTAAACTCTTCAATATCTTCATTAATGACTTAGATGAGGGAGTAGAAGGGGGGCTCATCAGACTTGCAGATGACACCAAACTGGCAGGAACAGCCAAGACCCCAGAAGACAAACTCGGGATCCAAAAAGATCTTGACAAACTTGAACAATGGGCCCTATCCAATAAAATGAGTTTTCATGTGGAAAAAAGCAAAGTTTTACATTTAGGCAGAAAAAAATCAAAGGTGCAAGTACAGATTGGGCGAGACCTGGCTCAAAAACAGCAACTGAGAGGGACCTTGGAGTCCTCGTGGACGATCACTTGACCATGAGCCAGCAGTGCAGCAGCAGCCAAAAAAGCTAATACGATCCTGGGTTGTATAAACAGAGGCATAGAATCAAGATCACACAAAGTATTAGTACCGCTTTATAAAACCCTGGAATACTGCAGCCAATTTTGATCACTACAAAAAAGATGTTGAGACCTTGGAAAAAGTTCAGAGAAAAGCAACTAAAATGATCAAAGGCCTGTAGACTAAAACATATGAAGAACAGCTGCGGGACTTGGACTTGGCTAGTCTAAAGAAAAGAAGAAACAGGGGAGACATGATAGCAGTATTCCAGTATTTGAGGGGCTGCCACAAAGAAGAGGCCATCAAACTATTCTCCAAAGCATCAGAGGGCAGGACAAGAAACAATGGAGGGAAACTGACCAAAGAGAGAAGAAGAAGCTTCCTAACAGTGAGGACAATCAACCAGTGGAACAGCTTTGCCTTCAGAAATCGTGGGCGCTCTATCATTGGATATTTTTAAGAAGAGACTAGACAGTCACTTGTCTGAAATGGTATAGGTTCTCCTGCTCGAGCCGGGGGTTGGACTAGAAGACCTCCAAGGTCCCTTCTAGATTCTATTCTATTCTAGTGTTAACTGTGATGCTTGTGGGAAGGAAGCCTCATCTACAAGGGACTGTGCGGTTATGAGAAAGTTGGTGCTTGTCTTCATTAAACAGAGCTGCTTGTTTCTTCCTTCTTCAGCTCAGACTAACTGTGTGGACACCACGATTGCCAACCTCCTGGAGGGGCGGGCTCCCTTCGTACCAGAGGCAGAGACCGAAGGTTTTGTGGCTGCAGCTCCCTCTTTCTATGGCGCTCAGGATCCTTCCACCTCCCGAACGGCCCCGGTACTTGCACTCAGGCCCAGAAGGTTGCGGGTGTTTGTCTGCAGGAAGCGTATTTGGGCAGGTTCCTAAAGGCGCCTCTGTTTCCTTCAGGCACCGGGAAAGGTCTTTGCCAGATCTTCAGAAGCCAGACAGCTCTCTCTCCAGGAACGGAAGCAAGCGCTCTGGGATTATGCCAGGAGGTGGTGAACCCCCTTTTTCTGCGGGCAGAGGGCTGCATGTGGAACGGGAAGCCCCCCTGGGGGGCTGGCAGAAAGTGGCCCCTTGTGCTAAAGGTGTCTCTTTCTTTGCAGGAGATACACAGAGAAATATGGAATAGCCCACGCAGAGGGGAGCTGCTGACCGCGTGTCTTAGCTTGAACTTGTGGCTCGGTGGAACATGGATCTTTGTGGGGATCGTTGCTGTCCTGGGGTAACCGAGGTGGCAGTTCTTGACAAGTGTTGTGTGTGCCATCCGTGGGCTGCCTCTGCCGGTGGGGAGGCTACAGCTCCAGCCAAATGCAGGCTCGCAGCCTTCTTGCGTTCTCTATCGCCACACCTGGGCCTGGCATTGTCGGGCCCAAGAGCCTGCCCAGTGGGGAGGGGGGTGTCTTTATCAAAATAAACATGACTTTGAATGCTCGTCTACTTGGTCAGGTGCTGCTTCTTTTGGCATGAGAGAGAGAGAGAAACCTGGAAAGGTCACCTCTCTGGAGGCTTCTGACCACTTGGCCAAGTTGCCCACAGCTTGGTTTTCTGGACTGCTTGCACTGCTCTGTCAGAGGGAAGGTTCTAGTGCAACTGGCTGACCCTGCATCCATGGTAGGAAGGTAGGTGGGGGACTGACAATATTAAGCCTCTTACGTGCTCCCACCGTGTTTTTCCGGGCTTTTTCACTGAAGGGGCTCTCAAGAAGTATTCTGTAGTCTGAGCATCCTCCAGGCATCTAGACCAACCCTCCGAACGTTTAGGAACCATGAAATTGGCTCGGACATTCTGAGATGCTTCTGGAAAACGCTTGTTGCCAGACGCAAAGAAGAGATTTTTGCATTAACAGTTGTTGCATTTTGTTACCCGTGTTCTGATGGTTACAGTTTCCATGGAGTGAGCATCCACCATATTGTTCAATGGTTTTGTCTGGGCTGCATGGTTTACTGGAGTTCACCCTGGTTGGCCAGTTTATGGCTCAGCGTTGTGTGAACCCAGGCAAAGCTGGAATAGTTGTACTTGCTTCGCATACCAGCTGGCCATGTCTAGGCCCAGAGCCCTCTATGGTCAGAGGACTCTCTGCCTTGCTTGCCAGCAGCCGCATGGGCTGGGGCTACCTGGAGTGGTGGTTAAATCTGATTGCTTAACTGTTGGTTACCTAAGCTGTTCTTAACCCAGATTTTGAGGGTGGTGGGGCACCTTGAGCAAGCTAGGTACAGTACCAACTAGGTTGGCTGGTTTGCAGTTCAACATCCGGTGCAGACCCAAGCAGCCTTCTGGGTCCAGCGTCCCCAAGCAGAGCCATTTCTGGAAGGACCCTTTGCAGCTTCCTCCTTAAGCCGTGCTCCTTTCCCAGGGCTCGGGTGAGGCTGGTGATAAATGCAAAAATAAGAGGAGACTGGAGAAATTTTTGGATTTAAAAATTAAGGAAGCTCTTGATCCGTTGTGCAGGGAATCCTGAGGAACACTTGGCATCCTCTCTGTGTGGTTTTGCAGAAAGGGAAGATTCCCTCCCATCGGAACAGGAGAGATAAAGAGGGAGAATCTCCCTCGCACGTGTGCTGTTTCCAGCAGCTCTGGGGAGTTCTGAGGCTTTGAGACAGAAGGAGTAAATCATTGCTTCCTACTGGTGTTCTCTCCCCCCCCCACCTCCGATTTTGCTTGCCTTTTGTGTCATTTCTGCCGTACAATGAATAAACATCAAGCTATGGTTTTGTTAGCTGAACTGAGTAGCGTATATGCTTCTTCTGAGCTGGATACAAGGACTGAGTAAGGGTGTGCCGGATGCAAACTAAACTGGAAGTTATCAACAATAATTCGACACTCTCCAATAACGTGGATTCCAGCTTGGATCTTTCTTGTACCCTGCTTGGGGTTCATGACTCTGTAATTCCCACTACTACACCCCTACCCCAGGGCATCCCAGTGCTTTTCTAGCAACAAAAATAAAATAAAATTGCAAACGTCCATAAAAGAGAGGTTGCTTCCTGGACACAGAGCATTGTGGCCTGTGACTTAAGGAATATATTTCTTCTACCCATCGCTCCTTAGGAAATAGAATACCTCCCAAAAATGAAATCAAGATTTATTAAGCAAAGTAAAAGCATTTTTAAACATTAAAATGCAAATATTTTGCAACTAAAAGGGAAGTACAGACCTGTTCAGATAATGGGAGAACAGCAGAAGGAACATTTTCTGTCTTCTAACCAGCAAGATGTTTCATTCTTGGTTTGTGCGAAGGAGATCCTGTGTGAGAAAAACGGCTCTCGTGCAGATGCCAGTAGCTCAATTCTTGAGTCCAAACTGAAACAAGAACCTCCCTGAATTCTCCTGAGGGAGGAGGGAGTCCTCTTTGAAAGCCTCTCCCCTGAGTGCTCCGTAGAGGGTCTTTTATGCTTTAAGGACAAATAGAGACTATTTAACTTTCGTATCTCTGCTCTCACGTTCCCCCCCCCCCCCAATGTTTAAAGGAAATTTGGCTCACCAATTCTCTCTTGGATATTTTCCGTTCTTAGTTTTGACAGTTTAAAGAACTTCAGCGTTTCCTCTGAGGGTCAAAGAGAGTCCTGATGGCCATTTTCCCAGTGAGTAATTCTGAGTCTGGCCCAGGGAAGGGAGGGCGTGCCCTTCCTGGAGCTGAAGTTTGGCACATCCACCTGGGTGGCAAGGGGAGGGGGGAACGCTCTCAGGAAAGAGGCTGCTGGGATCTTTCACCCATCCAGGAAGTCAACAGAAGACTAGGAGAAAAGCCTCACTGCCTCCTGGCCAACGAGCTCCCGTCTGAAGTGGTCTCGGCACAGAAAGGCCCTCCGCCTGGGAGGAAGTCTGGGTCTCTGGGGCAGGTATAGGGATCTCAGAAGACAGGAGGTTATGGGCAGCCCTCCAGGACATCCGAGTCCTTTCCCCAGGGACCGAATGCTTCGTCTCAGGAGCCTTTGGCAGGAAAGGAAAGCTGCTCTGGTGGAAGAGGTGGAGACCCTGTCTGGTGAAGATGGTCCAGACACTGTCCAGCTGTTCTTCCCAAAATGTATTGCCGAGAACCAGTCACAGCATTCTAGCTGCGGTTTGACCAGCACAAGACAGGAGCAGATGCTGATCTTGATCTTGGCACCTGACTTGGGTTATGCAGCAAAGGGCTGGCCTTTTTGCTCCCATGTTGCAGCTGCAGCAAGCTGCTCTGTTTGCACCCTCCACGTGCGTCTCCTGCTGCTGTCCAGTACGCTTCCTCCCCGCCAGCCGGTGCCTTGAATTCCTTCCACTCAAATGTAGGGTTCATCTTTGCCTCTTTTAACATTTCTCTTGCTGGCTTTGGCCCATTGCTGGCCTCCAGAATCTCGATACTCCTCTTTCCTCTTTGAGTCACCCACAGAATCGGGTAGGTGTATCTGCTCATCTCAACAAAATCGTTGAAAAATGCCTTGAGCAGCTCAAGGTCCTGCAGTTTCCCGTGGCAACTTTCCCTCCAGCTTGCTCTGGATCCATCTGGTGCAACGTTTCAACTGGCTCTACCTAGGGATAGTATTGCCCAGCCAAATCAGTCCTTCACCGAGGGAGATGACAACTGGTTGTCATCAGACCTCAGGCAAGTTGCCAAGGGAGACCTCCCCCACCACTCCAAGGGAGAGGCAAGTTCCGAGCATCAAACAGGATGTAACTTGTTCCGACACAGCTCTTCAGAATTCTATTATCCGAGGAGTTGAGTGCCTCTGGCCCAGAAAACAAGCAGGCCTGGGGAGGCTCTGGGGCTGAAAGGAGAGACAACCCTTGCACTGTGTGTGGGGGGGTCCTCTTGCAAAGTGCAGAAGAAGCAGGTGAGTGCCACAGGCTGCAGCAGTTGGAGGTGTTTGGTGCTCTAGACAGGACTATTCCTCTGCTTCCTGGCTCCTTCACCACAACATCTTGGAAAGAGCAGAGGTCCCATGTCCGACTGGAAGGCAGAACAGCCTCACCATTGTGACCTCTTGCCCTTTCTATTCGGCCTCACACCACTAAAGCTGAACTTTGGGCCTTCTTTGCTTCTGCTGGAACTGGAGGGGGGCTGTGGGTGATTATCTATAGCCAATGGGGGAGGGGGAATCACTTCAAATTTGCCTCTGTGAGAGCCTGGGAGCTGGTTAGCCAGCATCTCCCTCCTGGGCTGGGAGCTTCTAGTTCTGGACCAAGCGGGCCAGGCCATGCAATGACCACAGAAAAGGAACTTGTCTCTCCTCCTCTGAGACCAGCCTGCCAACTGAGGTAGCCCTGGAGAGAGTTCTGGGTTCAGAAGGTCAGAACTGTTTCCGGGATGGGGGGGGGCAGGGCGCCTGTCTTCCCACTGAGCCCAGCCTGGTTGTCCTGAGGTGCTTGTGTCTTGTGGGTCTCTTAAGGAGGGGATGAGCTGCAGAAGAACCATTCTGTCCCTCTGGGCTTTAGGAAGCAAAGGGTGTGATCCCAACGGGGGAGGGTCCTTCCCCAGGAAATGGCTCCCCCTCACCAGCTGCAAACCAGCCAGCCCACAGGTTTTCCTGCCCCTCCCGTCACACTTGCCAAAAACAAACCTAGACCAGTGGACCCCAACCTTTTGGACACCAGGACCGGTTCTGAGGAGACAGGTTTTTCCGTGGTTTTGCATTCTGCTTGCATCCCACAGGTGGAGCTTCGCTTGTTTGCGCGGACCGGTTTCTGCCAAGCCAGGACTGGGGGGGGGGGGGGAGCCGTGGTCTAGAGCACCCAAGATTCGCCTCCCTTTCACGCATCTCTTCTGGACTCGGAGTGCTAATTCGAGGCCTCACGAGAAAAAGCGTCCATCCTCCGCCACACCTGCCTGGGACGGAGCTTTGCAAAAGCGACCGTCCCGCGAGGCTAACCCTTTCTTCCGGCTTGCTTTGGCTAATCCACCGCCTGTTTCCTGGCGGGGCAGGTGCGGGCACCTCCGCTGCCCCCAAGGCGAGGCTGCGGAAGCGAATCTGCCTCCCGAGCCCGTTTCCACAGTTGGCCGCATGCCCGGACTCCCGCCCGCCCGGATCCGGGGGAGGAATCCCGAAGGGGGCGGGGCTTCGGCGACCACCAGCCCCTCGCCAGGTGTGCGTGACGCGGAAGGGGCGGGGCGCCCGAGGCCCCGCCCGCCTCCGCAGCTTTCCCGAGAGGGGAGTCGACGCTGCGCGAGAGCCCCGAGCCCGAGCTCACGGCAGGTGGAGGCGGCCCAGCCCGGGCGAGCGCGTCGGGGCCTGCCGCGAGCGGGCGAGGAGGGGAGGCGGCAGCTGAGGAAGCCGACGCTGGCCGGGCTGGGGAAGGGGGCTGGGTTGGCCCCGCCCTCCAGTAGCAGCAGCAGTCCGCCGCCCCGCGGGTCCCCGCGCGGATTCCCGGAGCCAGGCCCCGCCCGCGCTACCATGGCCGCGGCGGCCGAGTCGAGCGCGTTGCCGCCGCTGCGGGACGAGGCGGAGGACGAGGCGGGCGGCGGCGACCTGGAGGTGAACCCTTTCGACGGGCTGCCCTTCTCCTCGCGCTACTATGAGCTGCTGGGCCGGCGCCGCCGCCTCCCCATCTGGGCCGCCCGCTTCTCCTTCCTGGAGCAGCTGGAGAGCAGCGCCGGCCTCGTCCTGGTCTCGGGCGAGCCGGGCACCGGGAAGAGCACGCAGGTGAGCGTGGCCGCCGAGGGCCCTGCGGGCGGCGCTTCCGCGTCGGATGAGCCGCGGAGACGGGACTTTGCCCGGGCGGGGCCTTTCCCTTCCTTGACGGGGCGAGGCGAGCGGAGACCGGAGCGAAAACGGGGGTCGCTGCTCTCCGAGCCGCCTTGCCGGCCAAGCCCTGGCCCATCCCGTGCCCGGCTGTTTGCAGAGTAGCCGGGTGACGTGGCTCGAGGCTCTGGGCGGCCCATCGCGGCGCACTTCCCGGGCTCGGGGTGTGGAGTTGCGCGCCGGGCCCTTCGAGCCCCGCAGTTGGGTGGCCTTTGAGGCGGGAGGAGAGCCTTGGAGGGGCCTGAAGGCAGGGGCCGGAGGGCAGGCAGAGTTTGAAGTTGGCCTGTGCAGCTTCTCACCCGCCGTTCTTGGAGAGTTGGGGGAGGCTGAGCTGAGGGGGGACTTTGCGGTTCCTAGTAAACCCCTGAGCAGAGAGTGTTTACCGTTCAAAATGCAGGACCTGCTGGCTGGGGTTGGGGTGGGACCCGATCAGCTGGGGCAAGGGGCAGGGCTTGTGCACTGGCCCATCCTCTCTTCCAGGTGCCCCAGTGGTGCACAGAGCAAGCCCTCTCGGTGCAGTTTGCCCACGGCCGAGTGGTCTGCACCCAGCCTCATAGTTTGGCAGCCCTCAGCCTGGCATTGCGTGTGGCAGATGAGATGGACCTCAATGTAGGCCACGAGGTGGGCTACTGTGTGCCCTATGAGGACTGCTGCGTTCCAGAGACCCTGCTCAGGTCAGTGGGACCCCTTCGCCTGGGAGCCATTTCCGTGTTGGGGCTTCGACCGACGTTGCTTGTGCTGGAAAAACTCTCCATTTGGGGCAAGGGGGGCATCTGGGCCAGCAAGCCGGGCTGGCAAAGCTGCTGTCCTCATCTGCTCCACCAGAGGTTTTGTGTGCTACCCCTGGCACTGGGCTTCCAGGCAGGATGAGGAGCTGCCCAGGAGTTCCATCACCTCGTGGAAAGCCTTTGGGCCATCATGCTCCAGTGGCTTTGAGACTGAAGTCTCTCTCTCCCCACCCTTTGGGGCGCTTCTGCTTCTCTGTATGATGCTATTGGTTAACATGGAGACAGATAAACCGGCCTTGGTTTAAAAGAAAAGCTTTACTGCTGTTATTAACATTATTACCGTTAGAGAAAGAAAAAAAAATGCAGAAACAAGCTTACTAACCCATGACTGGGAACTGGTAGCAGTTTAGAAGCTGGCACTAAGCCAGCTGGGTGACCTGGGCTCAGTCTCTTCCGCTCAGCTCTGGGAAGGATGAGGTCAGGGCAAGCGCTCCTGAAAATGCTTCCAAGAAAGCCATTGGGGCTTCTCCAGCACCAGTTGCCAGGTAGCAGAAAGCCCCAGACCGACAAGCCCCCTGTCTTGCAGGTTTTGCTTGGACGAAGTCCTGTTGCAAGAGATGACCTCGGACCCCCTTCTGCGGCAGTATGGGGTGGTGGTGCTGGACGAGGCTCAGGAGCGCACCGTGGCCACGGAGCTGCTGCTGGGGCTGCTGAAGGACGTGCAGCACCAACGCCCAGAGCTGCGCCTGGTGGTGGTCACTGAGCCTCTCCAGGAGGAGCAGCTGCGCCATGTCTGCCAGGATGCCCCCATGGTGCGGGTCCCGGGGCTTGGCCCGGCCCCATGCTTGACCTACAGAGAACCCCTCCCAGGGGGCCACATACCTGCTGCCTGCCAAGCAGCGTTGGAGCTTCATCGGCAAGAGGAGGCTGGCGACGTAATGATCTTCATGGCCAGTGAGCAGGTGGGACTTTGGGCACAGGCTGGCATGATGCAGAAACTGCCCACTATAGCAGTGTGGCAGGAAGCTTAGGGCCCTTGGGTGGAATTTAGGGGGGTTTCTTGGCCACTTGGCAAGAGAGGACACTGAGGTAGCATTTGAGGAAGTTGGAGAGGCAGACGGGGAACGTGCTGCGTAGAACGAGAGGAACTGTGGTCAGTTGAAGAACCAGCCGTGTCCTGCCTGTGAGCATCCTTCCTGGGGTGGGGCCGCTGGCTCTGTTCAGGGAGGAAAGGAGTATTTTTTGTGTCCCTTCAGGAGATCAAAGAGTGCTGCGAGGCCCTCCGAGCAGAGGCTGCGATTTTAGAGGCCAGCCTGGGACCCCTGCTGGTGCTGCCTCTGCATGCGGCTGTGGGGAGGGACAGCCAGAAGTTGTATGAGGGCAGCCTGGGTGACCGGGCACGCCGAGTCATTGTCACCCACTGGCTAGCAGACGCAGCCTTCTCTGTGGGCAGCGTCAGGCATATCATCGACACGGGGATGGAGCTGCGCAACGTGAGTCTCATGAGCAAGGGAGAAAGACGGAGGGTCTTCTGTGGGGTGGCCCTCCTGCCCGCTGGCCCAAAGGCTGAGACCCAGTGAGCCTCGCAGGGCTCTGAACCTGGCGCAAGGCTGGCTGGGAGCTGCTGTCCATTAGCCCTGAAGGGCCACTGAGCCCATCGGTAGAGCTGAGGCACCCCTGGATGGCTTGGCAGGCTCCGTGTGGAAGGCGGAGCCAGCAGAGCAGGCAGCAAAGGAGCCTGTGGAAATACACACAGAGGCACACGCATGCACGCAGCACTCCTGCACCCCAGATCCCCCCATTTTGTCTGTGTGGGAGATTTCAGGGGTGTTCATCCAGGCCATCAAAGTGGACCCTTCCTTTTCCTTTTGGGTGGAGCAAGAAATGAAGGCCAGCAAGCCCTGGGTGTTCCTCCCTGGTTCCGTGGTTCCTTTAGCAGCCCTTTCCCAGTAGCCCACAAAGGGCAGCTGCCCTTGGCCCCCAGCTCCCACTTGGACTCGCAGCTGTGGGTGAGAAAGAAGATATCTCTCCCACACACACACAGGTCTTCTCCCTCCCTCCCTCTTGCCCAGCGGCCTCTGCCTGCTCTCTCCTGGACAGGTCTACAACCCCCAGATCCGGGCTGCATCACAGGAGTTGCGCCCCATCAGCCAGAGGCAGGCAGAGGCCCGGCGGCTCAGGGCTGCTGGTGCCCCTCCAGGTAAGCGGTTGGGCGTGGGTGTTGGCTACTCCGGCAGAGGCCTGAGGGGGCTTCCCAGGCCCTCCTCAAGTGACTGCTCTGCCCCACAGGGACTTGCTTGCGCCTCTATTCAGAGGTCTGCTACGAGCAGAGGCTGCCGGCCTTCTCCCCCACTCACCTCATGGAGACTGACCTTCGCCGCCCCATCCTGCTGCTCAAGAGGCTGGACATTGCAGATGTGGGCCAGTGTGACTTTCTCGACAGGCCAGGTGCGGACAAGATTTGGGGGGGATGGGGGCTGTCCCTGCCAGGCCAGCAGCAGCCATTTGGTGGACCTTTCTCCTCCAAATGAAGGAGGATCTACATGTCCCAGGAAAATGTTGCAGGATCCGACCTGGGTTGGTCAACGGGACAGGACGTTTTGTCTTCCGAGCTCTCGGACTCGTGCCGGAGCCCCCAGCCTCAGGGAGCCTCTCTCTGGCAGAGCGTGTGCTTTGGGCTATTCTGTGCCTGCTATTTATATGATGTCATCTATTGTGCGTATGGCTTTGTAGCTGATTGCATATGTGTCTTGATGGCACCTCTCTTTCCCCCCACCCCGCCAGCCCCTGAGTCTCTGATGCAGGCCCTGGAGGACCGGGATTACCTGGCCGCCCTGGATGACGACGGGAACCTCTCCGAGGTGGGCATCATTATGTCGGAGTTCCCCTTGGATCCCCAGCTGGCCAAGGCCCTCCTAGCCTCCTGCGAGTTTGACTGCGTGGAGGAGATGCTGACTTTGGCCGCCATGCTGACGGGTATGGGCCTGGGTGCCTCTGAGGCGAGACCCTCGCTGCGTAGCCCTGGGGGAGGACCCACCCAGCCTCTCTCCCCAGCTCCCCTGAGCTCTGCTGCCCTTCCTCCCTGCAGCGTGGCCTTGTTTCCAGACTCCGGTGGCACGCTGGGAGGACGCAGTGGTAGCACGGCAGCAGGCCCTGCTCCACCCAGCCGGGGACCACTTCACCCTCATCAACGTCTTCAATGCGTTCCACCAGCGTGAGTGCCAGGCAGAGGCTGTGGGCTGGCAGAGGCCAGTGGCCGGTACTGCCCACACACCCTCCTCCCTGTCCTTTAGAGAGCGACCCAGAAAGCTGGTGCCGGAAACACGCGGTCAGTGAGGCAGCCCTGCAGCTGGCTGGAGCGGTGCGGACAGAGCTCTTGGACGTGATGCAGCGGATTGAGCTGCCGGTCTCCCCGCCAGCCTTTGGCACCGACAGCAACGTCCTGCAGCTGAAGCGAGCCCTCCTCACTGGCTTCTTCCTCAAGGTAGAGCCCTGCTCCCCCCACCGCACAGCTGATGGCGGACTCAGACTGCAATGGCCGGCAAGTGCATGGGGATCCTGAAGCAGGAGCCGGTCCCTGCAGAGGGAGGATCGGGCGCGGATGCTTGCCAGGCACAGCAGCGGGCTGAGAGCCAAGGTGTGGCCAGGGCTGTGATCCCAGAGAGGACAGCCAGGCGCTGGCCAGCCCAATGGAGAATCCATGCCACGGCCTCTCGGCTGGAGGTGCCCCCTAGCGTGGGCGAGAGAGCTGCCCCTCTTCCCCATGTGCAGGTCGCCCGGGATATCGATGGCTCAGGCAACTACCTGCTGCTGACCCACAAGCACTTGGCCCAGCTGCCCCCCAGCTGCTGCTACCGACTGCGCCGCCCATCCCCACGGCCCCCCTCCTGGGTGCTCTACCACGAATTCACCATCTCCCAGGACAACTGCCTGAGGATTGTCTCCGAGATCCCGCCAGAATTGTAAGCTTCCGTGGGGGGGCGGTGTGTGTGCGTGCAGGCGCATTCTCTGTGCTCTCTCCCTGCCAAAGGGGCAGAGCCTGGCCAGGCTTTGGGGACTTCGGGCCACGTGCCAGTGCTCAGCCGGCTGCACATTTTCCTTATCTCTAGTGTGGCTGAACTGGCTCCCCAGTACTTCCTGAGCAATCTGCCCCCCAGCGAGAGCCGAGACTTGCTGATGGAACTTCGGGGGACGCTGGCAGGGGATGGCCCCCTTCTGGGTGAAGAGGAGAACCCCCAGCCCCCCAAAACGGCTGAGGACGCGGGAGATGCCTGTGTGCTGCAGTGACCCTGGCAGGAGGAGGGAAGACGGCCGAGTCCGTGGTCACTGCAGGAGCCTGAAGGCTTTGGACCCGGGGCACGACCGAGGTCGTCGGAGGGCCTGTCAGGCTTCTGGGAAGAGAGGGCCGAGTAGGGGAGCCCCAGACCGTCCGCTTTCAGGACTGCATCATAGCTGGGGAGGAAAAGGGGTCCTGGCCGGCTGAGGATCTGCTGCCTGACCATGGAAGAGGGTCTCTTCTGGGGTTGGATGGCCTTTTGGGGCCCCTCGCCCCACTCCTCAGAGGGAGGCATAAGGCAGGTGGGCTGTTTTTGTTCACCTTGGCATCTGCCCTTCAGTTAGCGGCCTTGGCAAGCAGTGGGGTGCCCCAGCAGGTGTCTGTTTTCTCCTAGTAGGGGGGAGTTGTGGTACGTCCTGGAAACCCCCCAGAACCCAATAATTGCTCAGTAGAAGAAACCGCCAGATTCCCCCCCCCCAGTTTTCCAAAGGGATCCTTTCCCTTTTTCTCAGAAGCAGTTTGTGGAGGGGGGGGCTTACATTTCCCCCTCCCTTTCTTTCAGCTTCAGCTGGGAGTCCCTGCTGAGTATCCGGAATGTTTTTGTGCATTGGGGGAGAGCCTGGGGTGTGGCTCTTGCCTTTTCTGTATGTGCCTCAGAAGCGTTCCACGCACTCCCCCACTCGGGAACGGCGGGTGTGTGGAGACCGGAGGGCAAACCCCAGCAGGCTCCGTGGGGCCTGGCCTCTGTCTTTCTGCTGCTCTGGACAATCCTCCTTGTAGGAATTAAATTCTTTTACACATCCAAATGTGGGTCTGGTGTGGATTTGGGACTGGAGGGGGGGTTGGTGACCATCAAAGTGTCAGATGGAAACACAAAATTTGGATAGGGGGCAGGAAAGGGGCACAAGGTTGCCCACCTGAGAAAGGCTGTTGGCTGGGAATAGGGCTGTGGGTCGGGGGCTGCCTGGGAATGACGTCCATGTGTCCAATTTGAAGGGCTGGAGAGTTTCCTGCACGCTTTTTTGGGTTTAGGGAAGGGCCTGGGTGCGAATCGAATTTCCAGGGCATGTAAAGACTCCATTCTGCCAGAACTGTCTGCACCCATCTTGCGCTTGGCGTTCCCTGCTGGATCAGGTGAAGGGCAGGAAGCAGCAGCTGCCCTTACTCAGCTGCCGCCACCACCACCACCACCACCGGTAGTGCTTGTGACAGAGGCAGCCCTGCTGGGAGGCCAAACCAGAGCCTGCTGGAGTCCAGACCTTCCGGGCCTTTGTTGACTAGGCTGCCCTCTGGGGCCGGGACCAGCAGAAACACCCTCCTGGCCAGCCTGTGTGGCTCCTGGGCCAGTGGAAGCGAATGGGGCTGCCTGCTCGGCGGAGGCTGCCTTGGAGAGAAGCAAGACCGTCAAAGTGGGTCTCGGAACCTCCTTGGGAAGCTGGAGCGCTTCCGTCTCCCGGCAGGCCCCAAGTGGAGAGGCCCTCGGGCATGGGGAGCGAGGATCTCTGGTGGGGGGCGCCTGGCACTGCTGAGCTCAGCTAAAGGCCCTCGTCAGTGGGGGGCCACCGGAGGCGCTCCTTGTTGAGGAAAGCCCAAGACAGCCCCGCTGAGCCCTTATCTCTCGAGCCCTTATCTCCAGGCCCGCTTTCCATGAGGCCGGCTTCCTTCAGGGGGTGGGCAAGAAACCACAGATAGGAGGGAGTCAATGTTCGTCAGCATTTCGAGGAAGGGGGAGGGGTAAAAAAAGATCCCGTAAGAGGTCATATGGGAAACCCCCTGCTCTCCACCAAGCCCCTCATTTGGCTGAGGAAACACTCCTTGCCCCACCCCACAGCTGTCACTCAGCAGGACCACCTGCCTTGTTCCCTCCCGGCATCTGGGGAGGGGGGCTGCCCCAAAGGATAAGGAGCTACCTGTCTTGAGTCAGGGGTCTGGGTGCAGCGCAAGAGTGGTAGGGTCAGGTGACTGGAATCCCCCTCCCCAAAGGAACGCTTCCTCTGTGCTTGATCTTCCGGGACAGCCGTAAGTCCCGTCTGCCCGAGGACTGGCAGGCGGGAGAGCGCGTCTCCCTGGTCTGCCCAGATTCTGGGCGCTGCAGCCGCCTCTCTTCTGGGCCAGCTGGACGTGTAGCCCAAGAAAGGAGGCTGCGGTGAAAACCAGGATCTCCACTTCCCTGGCTTTGCCCCTGGGGAAGCCTTTGCGGATCTCCTGGGGCTCCCGAAGGCTTTGTGTGGGGTCCCCAGGGGGGGCCATGGCACCCTGCCTGAACCCCTGAGCAGAGCAGAGCCAGCACACAATGGAAGTAGCAGCTAGGGGATGGGCCTGGTGGCTGCAAAAGGCAATCAAGGCCAACCCACCCTGACCTCCATGGGGAGAGGGAGGAAGGCCAGAGTGCTGGCCATTTTTAAGGTGCCGCTGGGCCCTCAAAGCTTTGGAAACCCACTCTGGTGGGTGGGCTGTGGGGATTGGGCTGAAAAGGGGTGTGGCAGGGTGGAGTTTCCCATCCCTCGCACGGTTTCCCCCCTCCTGGCGGAAGAAGCCAAGAGCAGGGGAGGCAGGGAAGCCCCCGGGCTCTCTGGTCTGTCCAAAGCTGGAGAGTCCAGCCACGTGGACCACAGCGGTCCCTCTGCCTGAACTTAGGAGCAGCTGGGAAGGAGTCCGAAGCGCAAGGACCTGCAGGCCCCCAAAGAGTGCTGAACTGGAGCTACCCAGCAGTGGCCGGCCAGCTGCCCCCAAACAGGGCTGGTGAGCCACAGTGCCCACCATTCAGGTTGACTAGTTCGCCTCTCCTCACCTCCTTGGTCCAGCTGGCTAGATTGGTGCTTCTTGCTTCATCTCCTGGCAGCTAAATTTCACAGGTGGCCTCGGTGTGCAGGTGAAGTTATCCCTCCTTTTGGCTACTGGATGATCCCCTTTAAGTGGGCATGGAGGCATAACTGTCCTCACTGAGTGTATCTCCTCTTTTTCAAGTTTTGTTTCAAGTCACATTTCTTCCTACAGAGGAACATCCGTTCTTTGATGGCTTTTCTGACAGAAATATTGGCCAGGTTCCTGAGGCTCTTCCAAACACATTCTTCCTACTTTTCATATCTTGTCAGAAATCTAGCTCAGAATCCAAAAGTCAGCTTAGCAAGTTGCAGCATTCTGTCTTTTTGTAGGCAGAATGTCCTTCAGTTAAGGTGGTTCCCCCTCCCTCACTTTCCTGGCTAGCAGGTCATAATTGCTTGAATTCCTTCAAGGCTGTGCTGTGTCTTCCAGTCTGTCTGTCGGCCAGGCTCACAGGTACGAATCTGGGGGGCAGCCGAGTCCTCTTCAAAGGCCATCCAGCCACCCATCGACTGCTTCAGCTCTCTCCGTACCCTGAGGTCAATTTCTCCCGAGGCTTGTAGCTGCTCTTCTCCATGACCCCCCCCCCTGGCCCGGCTTTCTTCTCTGGGTGCTGCTATCCCCCTGCAGGCACCCCGTCTCCAATCCAAAATTCCCCAACTCCCACGATAGGTGCGGAGGGGGGGCAGGCCTGCCTCCCTCCTCTTGCAAACCCCACTTCTTTCAGAAAAACCATTAAAAAGCTGTCTCCCGTGCAGGTGCCCCCACCCGCTCCCACCCCAGGACAGCTTTCCAGGGCTCTTTGGCCCACGGCCGTCTTGACAGGAGGGGAGGTCTGGCTTTCCACTCGACCCACATCTCCACGGAGCCTCTGCAAGGCGGTTCCCTCTCCCCATGGCCGTGTCCTCTCCTTTTCTCATGGGGGTCTCCTGCTTGGAAGACGTCAGGGAGCAGCCTGGCCAGGACAGCCAGGGGCTGCTCTCTGGTCCCTGCACAGCCGCCCTCTGCTGTTGCCCTGCCCTCCAGCCGATCCTGCTCTGCGCCCCGAAGAGGGTCTTGGCTACCTTGGGTGATGTCTGCTGATTCTGGGGGCCCGGAATCCCCAGGCTCAATCATACGTACATAGAAACACCAAATTCTGCGGTGATTTGCAAATGAACAACTTCCTGTTGGAATTCCTCCCTACCTAGCACTGCTGGTGTCTCATCGCTTTCAGGGGTGGCACTCAGGATAAGCCTGCCTTGGCCTTATCATGGAAACTCTGACTTGTTCTGGTAAGAATATTTTTTCTGTTACACCCCCATAAACCAGAGTGAGTAAGAATCCCTTCCAAAACACGTCCTTCCTCTTTTTCACCAGCCTTCAACCTGTGGTGCTCCAGGGGTTAGGTAGGACAGTCTCGGCAACTCCGTTGTGGGATGGTGGCCAAATCCTCTGATTTCCCCTCTGTGGATGGGATGTAGGTGCAGGGACAGCACCCACCCTCCCCTTCCCCCCCCCCACTGCTAAAGATGTAGCTTGAGACCATGCTTGTTCCTAGCTAATGTCTTCATCAACTTTTGGGTTTACCATCCTGCATAATGTGTATTGGAGCACAAGGAAAAATAGGTGTCAACCAATTTCTCTTAGATGCTGCTTTATCTGGGGCAGGCCTGGGTCATCCGTGTTTATAGCCACGTTTGAGTGAGCCAAGGTTACCTAACAAAGATGGAGGTTCAGACAGGTGGCACAACTCTAGCTGGTCCAGTGTTTTGGTGGCCCCTTGCAAGCCTCCTTCCACCACGTATCCTTCCGTCTCTCCAGACTTTCATGGCACTCTGGCATGACCCTGGCCTGCAGGCTGGCTTCTCCCAGCCTTGGCACAAGGAACAGGGTAAGGCAACTACTCTGTCCCAGGGATGTTTTGCCATCAGGCAGAGGCATCTTTCTGCAGTTGTAACTGGGAACTCTTCTCCACCCCCACCCCTCCCCCCATATTTATCCTTTCCAACTCGCATCCCTTCCTTGCAACAATCTGACCCTTAGCTATCTGCTGGTCCAGATCTGAGGGAGACCACAGAGGGTCCATCTTCTGCTGCCCCAAAAAGGAAACGAGCGCAGACAGGTTAATAATTTTTATAATTTTTTCCCATTTCACGGGCCTTGGAAATCAAACAACCGTGAAGCCACCTGGAAGCTCAATAAAGGAATGAAAGGTAAGAGCAAAACTCCCATTTTGATGCCTTAGTGGGTCTGCTCATTTTGCTGGCTGGAGGTCAGTGGCTGGGGCAGCTGAGCATCTGAACCACAGCTCTGAGCCGCTGGGCTTTTCCCTATAGAACTGGGGCTGAAGCTCCTACGTAAGACCCGACATGCACACCTGCCATAGGAAGGGAGAGATCTGCCCTGTTTGGGCCTGTCGGGATCTGCGCGTAGCATCTTATTAATGCCTCAGATGAGCGGCTAGGTGGAAGAATTCAGCTGGGAAGACTTCTCCTGCTCAAAAGGAGAGACCCTGCCCACCCTGCAGGCAGAGTTTCTCCGCTTTCTCAGTAGGCTCTGATGCCCAAAGGCATGAACGTGGCCAGCTGCCTCCCCCCCAGACTCACAGTGGAGCCACAGGACATGTTGCAAAAGGCCAGGGAGTCTTGCTGGACCATGCGCTGAACATGAGCCAACCGTGTTATGCAGCTGCAGAAACAGCCAACCCAGGTGCATCAAGGGAAGTCAGCTGCCAAGCTGATCAGAGGTCATCGTTCCTCTCTATTCTGCAGCGGTCAGGCCAAACCTAGAATATCCTGTCCGGATTCTGGGCACTGCCTTTAGGAAGGACGCGGACGGACTGGCCTGAAGGATCCAAACAAGAGCAGCCATGGAGACCAGGCGCCGGGAAAGGAGCTGCTGGAAGCAGCCTGTATGGCCCTCCTGGGGACGAGCCACCTGCTGGGTACCTGGTAGTCAGAAGGGGGGCAGGTGGGGGGCAGGGCGGTCCTTCCAGAAGGCGGGACAATTCCCCTAAGGGTCAGACCCAAAGAGGCTGCCCTGGGGGTCAGTGGATGCTTCTGGGTTGGAGGGGGGGAACCTGTCCCTGGGGAGTGCTGCCCTGAAACCAAGAATTTCTCCACAGGGCAGGAGGCCCAGCTGGATGATCCGGGATCCTTTCCTGCCCTTCCATTCTGAGGTCCTGGAAAACCTGGCCAGAATCCGTGGAGAGCCCAGTCAGAGGCCCCTGTGGGTGCCCAGCTTCAGCTGGGTCTTCCGCCAACGGCAGGCAATCCAGGCCTCCCTGGCTCCGGACTTCCCCGGGGTGCTGGAAAGGGAAGGACCTTCATTTTACTCCAGATCACACCCAGGGCTCCTGCCACGGGGAGCCCCCTCGACACCAGCCCAGGCCCAATTGTCAGTGGAGCCGGGGAGGGGCCGTGAAGAGGCTGCCTTGACCCTAGGCAGTTCCCTCTCTGCAAGGGAGAGTCCCGGGATGGGGGATGCCCTGACAGCTTCTCCCTTCCTTCCCCTTCCTTCCCCTCCCCTCCCCTCCCCGCCCCCTCCTCCTGTGTCATTCCTCCCCCCCATCAGAAAGGGTATATTAGATCAGTCCTCCTTCTGCCTTCCTCTCATAGGACCAAACTACCCACGGAGAGGTAAGTGCTCTGGAGGAGGAGGAGCTGCCTCAGTGTCAGACACAGAAGCAGCCGGGGCCCTGGGGGACGCATGGGCCCCTCTGCCAGGGGCCTCGGTTGCTGGCAAGGCATCCTCAGAGGTTTCAGAGGTTTTTTCCTGCCTTCAAATCGGTGTTGACTCCTGGACTCTCCCTGCAGTTTCTGGACAAGCTTTTCCACCAGGGTTCGCCTGGCCTCCTCTGGCCTAAGGCTGAGAGGGAGGGAGGGAGGGAGGAAGGGGCCCCCAGCACCCTGTCCCCAGGGCTGGGTTTCTCCCCTTGGCTCCAGGACCAAGGGGCACCCAGGAGCTGCCTTACTTTTCTGGGGGCAGGAGAGAAATGGGTGCCCCGGTGTTCAGGGGATGCCCCCCATCTCCCCCATCCCCACGCATCTTTCTGCCCACCGGGTGTTTCCAGCAGGTGACTCCAGCCAGCGCCTCCCCCTCCCCTTGCAGAGCTTGGACTGGTCTGGGCATTTTCCATGGAGGGGGCTCTGGAAGGAGGGGCTGCCCTGAGAAGGCACAGGTTCTCTCCCCCCCTGCCCCCCTCCCCGTTGCTGCTGCTGCTGCTCCTTGGAATAGGCCAAGGGATGGAGGGCAGCATTTCCTCAGGAGAATTCTGGCCGTGCTGGCCAGAACTGGGCTGGGGTCCTTTCAGCAACTGGGCTTCTCAGCTGGGAGGGCCGAGTGGAGGCCCAGGGACCAGATGACCACCAGATGACCGTAGGCGAGGAGGGCTGCTTTGGGGCGGGAGGAGGCCAGCTGTGCTCTTCCAGATGAGAACATTTTTGTACTCTGTGCACGTGCAGACATATTTTAGCCTGCAATCTGGCAAGGGATGGGGCTGCCTTTTATAAATGTCCCCCCTTCCCTGGCAGGGGTGGGAGCTTTGCCTGTGCTTCCCATTGACAGGGGGTCCCACCCTTTGGCCTCCCCGTCTTCTCCCCCTGGTTAGAGCCTGGGGACTGCTCGGCCCCTCGGTGAGACTTGGGGGTGATGCTCAGGGGAGGGGCTGGGTTAGGGCGAGGGGGCTTCCCAGCCATGACCTCCAGCAGCAGCTCTCACCTTCCTCCTCCCCAGCCAGGCCAGCCTCCCACATACGCCTCTTTGCCTCACCTCACACAGATGCTGCTGGGAAAGTGGGCAGCTTTGCTGGCCGTGGCCGTGGCAATGGAGGCCATGGCTGCTTTTCCCTCCTCACGTAAGTGCCTTCTTTGCCAGCTTTTTCCTGGGGGGGGGGCGGGAGGGCCAGGAGCCAGATATCCCGGGTCCTTTGCAGGTGGCTGTGCCCAAAACTCACTCCCTGGAGCCCCCCCAAATTCCAGGGGTCTGCCCTTCTGACTCGAATGGAAAAGCCAGCATTGCCTACCCCAGAAGTGGCAGGAAATTTCTGACAGAGGAAAAAAACCCTCCGTCTGTGGGCAAAGAGGGGCAGAAGAGCTGAGCCACCTCAAAGCTTCTTCCTTTGTCTCCTTGAAGGAAAATTTGGCATTCCTGCCAGAATTTAGTGAGGGTTGCAGTTCAGGTAGTGAAAATGAGCAACTAAGCGGTTAGAACCACAGGTACAATGAGGGTTGGGGGGTTAATTATGCCCAGGAGAAGGGGCAGAAGTTGGGGAGTAGGCAGAGGGCAGAGGGCAGAGCCAGCCCACCCCGCTGCTTCCACACAATTCCCACAAGAGGGCAGCAGGTGAGGAAGGGGGGGCTGCTTCCCCCACCCAGGGAAGAAGCACAGAATCGGGGGGGGCGAGGGGAGGCCTTCCTGGAAGGACAGGGGCAGCCAAGCCCTGCCCTGCGTAGAATGAGGGCGGGGGGGCGTGAGACGGGCCCTGGGGCTTCGGGTGCAGCATCCCATCCTCTGCTGCTCTGGGAAACACCCCATAGGCTTTTCTCACAAAGCCCCTGCACCCCAAAATTTGGGGATGGGGGTGCAGCCTAGAAAAAAAATTTCTGGCCATCCCAGTAACAGCCTCGAGTGGGCAGCCCTGAAACCGCTTTGGGGCTGGCAGCCAGCCAGCCTGGTAGGGCCCCTTCCGGCCCCGCTGACTCTCCGGTTTGGGGTTTTGCCCTCAGTGCTGATTCGGAAAGAATATGAAAACCTAACCTTGAACTGCTCCAGTTCCCCTGGAGAACAAGTGGAGTGGAAGTGGAAGGGCGACACGCAGCAGGAGTCAGGCCGAGAGTTTGTCATCTACAATCTGGACTTCCCATTTGCCGGAAACTATTCCTGCTGGGCCGGATCCCGGCTGCTGGAAAGCTTCCATGTGGCCCTGGGGGTTCATCACAGCTACTTCTTCAAGGCGGAAGGTGAGCGGGGAAGGGAGGGGAAGAATCCCTTGGGGGGGCTCATTCCCAGAGCCCCAGCTAAACCCCAGCCTGGTTCTCTGCCCCATTTCCCCACCAGCCTTCTGGCCTGGCCTTCAAAGCGGGGGGGGGGGCAGGCCTGGGCTGCTCTTCTGTCTCTCCACCCTGGCCCCTTCCTGCAAACCCATCCCAAGCATCCCGGAAAGCCTGAGAAGCGCCTCCATCTTTGCTTGCAGGGAACATGAGGGGGGGCTGTGTCGCCAGCCCCCCAGGGAGGACAGGAGCCACTGCCTGGGGAGGATGGTGGGATGGGGGATCTCTTCCAGCTGGGGACAAGCAGCAGCGGGGGTTCTCTTTCGGCGCAGCTGCCTTTCTTGCTCCAGATTCAGATTCTCGGGGCACCTAGTGGGTGGGAGATGCCCCGGGGGGCTGCCGCAGGAAGAGGGGCCTGGACTCGCCCTCAGTTCTTTTCCCCGGTTCTTGCAGGAGCAAAGGAAGAACCGGAAGAACCGGCCATCAGCTGCTGGGCTACATCGTACAGCGGCACCTTGAGCTGTTCCTGGAAGTCTCAGAACACGGCGACTTTTCTGGCCCACCTGAAACGCAAGTTAGTAGCCCCAACCCTCCTCTCTCTTCACTGTGCACCGAGCATCGCAGCGAGGAAAAGGGGGTCTCTGAGCACGTGGAGAGTCCTCATCCACCACCGCTACAGCCAGCGAGGGCTCCACCTCTGCCTTCTCTTTGCAGAGACACAGAGGCTGTGCTGTGCCCCTCCACAGAAGTGGTTCTCCTGGGGAACAGAGTGGTGGATATCCAGTTCAACAATTGTTCCTTCTGTCCTTATGCGGAGGAGGCGCCCCTCACCCCCCTCGTCCTGGTGCTGAGGGGGCTTTCTGAAGATGGTGGCGGCTACAGCGAAGTGAAGAAGACTTTTCTCTTGCGGGATATCGGTATGGATGGCACCAGCCCCCCCTTCTCATGCAGGGCCCCATCCCAGGCCTTGGAAGGCCCAACCCAGCGGTGTGGCCTGAGTGTGCCTGCCGTTGCGTCTGTTTCTCCGCGTGCACACACACACACACACACACACACACACACATACACATTTCCCTCCTGCTCCTGCAGGGGGGCTCTTCCCCAGGCTCCCCCCCCACCTGCTGGCAAATGGCCTAAGGCCCGAGGGACACTGCCCAGGGCTTGCAACCGTCCAGCCTTGCCTTTTATCAAGGTCCACTTGGGCAGAGCGTCTTCCGCCATAACTGACACCTCCTGTCTTAGGAAGGAAAATTTGGGGAGAGTCTTTTCAAGCCGGGGCCTCCTTGCAGGCTGGCTTTTCCACCCTTTGTGCTGGGCCTCTGGAGGGAGGGGGCCGGGGGGTGGCTGGACGAGGTCCGACAGGATCCCTGCTCTCCTCGCAGTGAAGCCCGATGCTCCGGCCTACCTGAAGGTCACAGGGCAGACGGTCTCCTGGGCTCCCCCAGCCTCCTGGGACCTGCCCGCCACCTACTTCCCCTTGCAGTACAACCTCCGCCTGGAGTCGGCTTCCGGCAGCAAGGAGAACCACCTCCTCCTCGTGAGTAAACCTTTTGGGCTTATCATTCGTCACACTGAAGGCTGGATATCTGGATGTCTTTGAGGGCACAAAAAGCCTCTCGGAACCACAAAGTGTTCAACGGACTTGGTGTAAACCACGGGTCTTGGGGTGAAACCGAATGGACTATGCTAATCCCCCACCCCCAGCAGCCAGCGGGCCAGGCCCCAGCTGACAGCCCCCAAGCAGAGACCTGGGTCAAGCTGCCCAGCATCGCCCCCCCATGCTGGTATACTGCCACTGCATGGGGATGCTCTGCTGAGCTGCTACAGCTCCTTCCAGGGCTGTGTTGTCCGCAGAGCTGCCTAAGGAAGCGGGATCCTCCTTGTAGTTGTGCAGATGCACAATGGGCGCAGATGCCGCCTTCGGGTTGAAGGGAACAAGGGCAACCCACCTTGCTGGGCAGGCCCATTAGCCCCTCTGCCTGCCCCCCCTTCCCCTGGTTCAACCGGTCCCTCTTTCCGCTGCAGGCCGAGAGGGAGCTGACCACGAAGCAGAATTGGAGCAAGGCGCAGATCCGCTGCAAGGACGCTTTGATCAGCTCATCTTGGAGCTCTTGGCAGGAATGGAAGAAATGAGGACATCAGCCGGAACTCTCCCCCCCTCCCCCTCCCCGTCCTTCTGCAGCTCCGGCTCCCCACCCCCACCCCCACCCCTCCCAGGTGCAGACTAGGAGTGAGCCAAGCGCAATCGCAGAAGCATCTTTAATCCTCCCAGGGCAAAAGCCACCAAGAGGCTCACCTGTCTGCCCGAAGATTTGTCCAGGAACAGCCCAATTGTGTGTGGGGGGGGGAAGCTTTTGTGAGGAGGGTGAGGAATCACAGGGGGGGGGGCAGGCAGGCTTTGCACAGCATCAGGGCTCAGCTGCCTGTCTCTGAGTCTGACTTTGCCTGTTTAACACCAACTTCACTTCCCCCAAAACCTGCTTGGGAATCAGATTCTGAGGGTTTCCCTCCTCTCCACTCCAAGGGGTGTCAGAATCTCCGCCTTTCCACTCTTTGGGATCCCCCCCTCTTGGAGAGCAGGCAGCCGGTGATCAAATAAAGTTTGGTTCTTGGCCTCAGCTTCTGCTCCTTCTAGTTACTTGGAATCCTGGTGATGATGTGACCTAGTTGGGTAATGAAACGTCTGCACGTCGACCCCACAGTTCAGCCCTGAGCTGCAGAGATTCACTTCAGCTGGAATGGATCCAGCTTCAGGATTAGCCTCCACCCCACCACGGCTGCCACCACCCCATTGCAGGCCTGCCACTCTCACCCAATCAAGGGCTTCTGCTGCTTTCTGCCAGGGCGCCCCTTGCCAAGCCAGGAGCCCAGTGCAACAAAGCTTCTCTGCCCACCCAGGTGGGACAGACTCCAGGGGCCAAGCAACCCCAGAGCCCCTGTCCGAACCGGGCCTCCTCCCCAGCCACTGTCAAGGAGCCAGAACCCCTGGGGTACGCAGGGCTGCAAGGGCTGGGGCAGCATGCTTCTCGGAGACCTGCAGGGAACCCCTAGTCCAGAAGCGACACCAGCTCGTCTGTTCCGCTCACACACATTCAAAGGGAACCCAGTTTAGCAATTCTATTTTTTAATTATTTGTACAAGAATGTATTTAAGCAGTGGCATTTTCTGTAAAATGGATACACAAATCAGCAACTGCTCAGGAATTTGCTTTTCTGTGTGTCGTCTTCCGAGCAGAATTGTTCTAAATGGCTGCTTTTAATAGTGTGGCTTTATAGTATTTTATTTATTTATCAAATTTCTATACTGCCCCTTGCATGTGTGTGCCTGTGGGTTGTTTACTAATAAAACAGTAAAAAGCTGTTTTGAAAAACAAGTTAAAAATCATATTGAAACGAAGCTAAAAGGGACAATTGCAACTTTAAAAAGGCAGAACAAGCACCTTCAGCCCACCAACCCCCTCCAAGGGCTGCATGCCACTCTTGGACCCCAGGCCAGGTGGCAGAGCCAGATCTCAATGCCCTTCAGAAGGCGGGAGGGGGCAGCTATTCCACAGAGCAGAGGTGAGAGTAGAGAAGGATCCCTTCCTACCCTCTGCCAGTCCATGCTCTTTCACTAAGGGGGTCTGTAACATGCCCTGCCCGCCTGCCTGCCTGCCTGCCCTGATGGGAGCAGAAAATGAAATTGGGATGAGCTGGTTCCATGGGTAACCTGGTCCCATGCCATGGAGGGATAGAAAAGTCAGGCCAACACTTCAGATTGGACCTGGTGGCAAACTGGCACCCAGAGCTGCTCACCTAGCTGGTGTGTGTGTGTGTGTGTGTTTCACTTGCAACCCTCGCAGCATCCAAACTGCTGGCGTGGCCACATTTGGCACCACAAACACCAGAGACTGTTCACTTTAATTCTCTGGCCCAGATTTGGACAGGAAGGGAGGTGCCAATGCACACCGGCAAGTCCTTCCGGTTGCCCATCCAGCATTTCCAAGAAGGCAGCCTCTGTCCCAACCAGGCCTCCTTTCGCTCTCTGCAGGCCTGAAGACTGTCTGGTCCTGCTTCCAGGCCATGCGCCCGCCCCGCCAAAGGCTTTTCCGGCTCCTGCTCTGCGGAGCACCCTGAACTGGCCCTCCTGCCCCCTCCTGCCTAAGGCACAGAGCCCTCCTCGGGGGGGGGACTCTGGATCTTGCAAGACTCCCAGGGTGCCAGCAGCCTGAAAGGACCGCCTGCAAGTCCAGGCTTCTTTTCCTGTAGGCCAACTTGGTTGCTCCCAGCCCTGCGAAGGTAAATATTGCAGCAGTTTACAGTGTCAGCATGTTGTTGCTCCCAGCAACCGGAAGGACGGGAGGCTGAGTCAACCTCCAGCCCACCAGAACCTGGCTGTGGGCAGAGACAGCCTGCATTCTAACCGCAGAACCATCAATTTTATTAATTTACAACCTAAAAGCAATATTTCGAACAGCAGTAAAGAGCAAAGACTCTCGGTGGGTTGCCTTCATTTTGGAAGTAAGAAGAAAAATGCTAATTTAAAGATTTTTAATATAACACCAGAAAGCTAAACAAGACTGTGTTTCAATTAAATTTTAAATGGATAAAGGGGATAGATATTTTATCAAACAGAATTTATTTTCTGATAAAAAATACTTTTCAAAATAACAAAATTAATTAGACAGATCTGATCTTCATGGACATTTTGAATTTAAAAATAAATTGGAGAAAACATTGGCATATAAATTGCAAAAAGAAAAGAAAGTGCTATTAAAGTTACAAGAAGGAAATAATGTAATTAGAGATGATGCAAATCTGCAAAAAGTGTTTCATCAGCATTATACGAGGGGTGCTTTATATAAAGGACCAGAAATATCCTTGGAAAAAGTGGAAGAATAATTTAGCGAAGACTACAGAGAATCAGAGAAAATATTTGAATGGACATACAATAAGGGAACTCTTTGAAGTTATTAATAAAACTAAAACAGGAAAGGCACCTGTATAGATGGGTTGCCAGCCTCTTAGTATAAAAGTTTTGAGGATGAGCTTTTAATTTTTACAACAAACAGATAATATTATTCCACAGAATGGAAAGATTCCTAATAGCTGGAAAGAGGCTAATATAGTATTAATATCTAAAGAGGCACAAGACTGACTAGTGAAAAAAATATTGATCAATATCTTTATTGAATAATGACTATAAATTGTTTGTCACAATTTTGGCTGAAATATGGGAGATTATTATACAGAACTTTAATCATGAAAATCAATGCAGTTTTTTTATCTAAAAAAGATGATTATCAGAAATGCTTTGGATGTTCTGTTCAACTGAAAGTACATAATAAAAAAACAAGCTGCACTGAAATTCTTAGATACAGAGAAGATTTACAATTTGAATTGGATTTTTTTGTTTAATGTTCTGGAAGATATGAATCTTGAAGATTGATTTATACTTCACAGAAAGTACAAATAATTGTTAATGGAGAACTAATGAAAACCCATGAGAGTCAAAAATGAGCAAAACACGGATGTTTGCATTCCAAAATTTTGCTCGTTTTAATTCTTGAGGTATTGAATAGAGATATAAAACAGGAGGAGAGAATCACCAAACTTAAGATTTAAAATGAAATGTATGAAATAAGGGCCTTTGTGGTTGATTTGGTATTAATTTTGGAAGATCCACTAGAAGGAGGTAGACACATGAATGGGGAAATGTGGTATATAAACAGGTTTTAAGATTAATAATCAGTACATGAAGATGTTAAAAATATAAAATTAGAAGATCAAATATTTACAAAAAATACTTGGATATTACTAGGACAATATGAATTGTATGTCAAAATAATTATGTTAAAACTTGGAATTAAATTAAGAAGGACATGTTAAGATGGGAGAAATTAAAATTAGAATCAGAATCTTTCTGATAAAAATGAATGTTTTGCCTAGAATTATAATTTTATTTCAGACAATAAATACCTTTTTTGACTACTGATATATGACAAAAAGATATGTGTAAATTTGTATGGTGAGGGAAAGTATAATATGTTAAATATAAAATGTTACAAGATGCGAAAGAAGGAGAATTAGTTCACCAAAATTACTTGTTGTTTGGTCGGGATAAAACAATGGGTGCTGCTGAGAAATAAGAGACTTTTAAAATTAGAAGTTCATGATCAGAGTCCTGGAAAGCAAAGATACTGACGGCATGATAAAATTAAAATCAATGTGGGTTTAAGAAATCATTTGATTAGACATGTCATATTGAGAATTTGAATTTGAAATATAATTGTGCACTGATTATGAACATGTAATTGCTAAAATGTACAAACTGTTGTTGAAATTTGAAACAGGAATAACAGAAAAATGTGTGAGCTAAACATGTTGCTTATAATATATAGGTGAATCCGTGGGAAAATATGTGGTTAAAAGGACTGAATTTTCCATTTTGTTATGATCTCAAAGAGAATTTTTATAACATGATGTATGATTGGTATATAACATCAGAGAAAATATTGAGGATGTATAAAGGCACTTCAGATAAAATATATATGGAAATGTGAACTACATAAAGGGACATTTTATCGTGCTTGGTGTATATGTAAAAAAACCTTTAACATTTTGGGCTGAAATGCATTCAGAGGATTTTAAAGATCAATATTCAATTGGAACTGGAACTTTTCCTTTCAGGATTAATAGATAAACAGAAAAAATGTTGGAAGATTTTTTTTTCAATATATGATTCATGTGGAGAGATTATATGAATAAAAATGGAAGGATTTGACTCCACCCACTGGGGAAGACTGTTAGTGAAGTTGATGGGCTTTGCTGAAATGGATGAATTCTTGGAAAAGAAGAAAAGGCAGAATCTACATGTATTGGTGACTGGAAGGCTTTGATAAACTTGTTGCATAAAAATGGAGAAAGGAACTTTTTATGATTAGACAGGAGAGATGACAGAGAGAAGAGAGACATGATGTAATTTTAGAGAGAGATTAAAATATAATTGTACTTATAACTACTGTGAAGAATATTGGAAGCCATTTCTTGGTATCTTTATATTTTTCTTTATATCTTGCTCTTTCTGTTTTATTTTTAGTTTTCACTTCTCATTGCACCTTTATGTTACTTCTTTCTGTTTCATTTTTGTCTGTTTTGATTTAATTTATTGTAGTTCTTATTACTGTTCTTAAACTTTTTACTAACATATGTAATAATAGAGAAAAGTAATTGTCCTTTCCAGCAGGCACAAACATTCACACAGACCCTGCAGGGAGG